GCGACTTTGTCATGCAGATATTGTACAAATTCCTCAGCCTTCCCCGCCAGGGGGTCCCCGCCCCCCCTCAATTGGAGGAGGGAGCGGGTCACCCTGAAGAGGGAGGCCGGGCGATTATCTGATGACGCAATGAGGGTGGAGTAGTAATTAGACCTCACCACCCTCATCGCCACTAGGTAGGATCTAACATGTATCCTTATTTGCTTGAGAAGAATTCCCACTGATCTGAAATTATTTGGCTAATAAATATATATTGCAGGAATTAATTATTGTTTACAAGGAAGCGAACTGATGAAACAAAGGAATAATAAAAACAGAAGAAATTTCATCTAATTTCCTCTCATTTTATGTTCAGGCATTTGTTAGCCTGTTAGTCCTGTGATTCTCATACATGAGAACCTGCCAAACTGGAAGGACTATATAGATCAGTGGTGGCGAACCTATGGCACAGGTGCCAGAGGCGGCACTCGGAGCCCTCTCTGTGGGCACACCTGCCATTGCCCCAGCCTTGCCCCCCCCCCGCGGCCCCCTCTTCACCAGCAGCCCCCCTGGAGAAGAGTTGCCCCCAAGCGTGGCCTACGCGGAGCAGCGCAGTCAAGGACATGGCAGCCAGGCAGCGTAGACAAGATTGCCCTCACGCCCCATCGCGCACAGTTGATGCTGCAGGGCGCGGGCAGAGGGCATGGCTGCCATGGCGCTGCTGGGTTGCCTGGGCGATCTGCGGCGGGCCCTGGAGGCGGTGAGTGGCTCTGCGGGCAGGCAGGGTGAGGGCGGGGCAGGAGATGGAGCAGGGCCAGGGCCAGTTTTTGGGCACTTGGTCTCTAAAAGGTTCGCCATCACTGATATAGATAATCATTGACCTATGACTATTCATTCAAAGTCAAGACGGCACTGAATGAATGGTGGTTAGGAGCAGTCCTCAGAGTACCGGTTGTCCCAGCATACACAGATTGCTGTCTGGGAGCTTGACAACCAGTTGCAGCACACACTTGCAACCAGTTACCAGGGCTTCGCGATAACAATATACATTTGCAATCTTCTCTGCTGACTTCTCCAGAAGTTCAGTGGGGAAGCCTGCAGGGAATGTCACAAGGCACTGGGGTAAGCACTCCCACCAGCCCTTCTACACATGTGTCATGCTGGCTATCCACATATTCCCTCACATCCTCCCCAACCAACGACTTTCTTGCTTCCTCCTCAACCTGTGCTGTGCCTCTTGCACATACCCTTGCACTCTTACCAACCCACACCATGCCTCCCTTGCACCCTTGAATAGTGTTAAGCAATGGTGTGCCTCTTGCGCACACCCCCCCACCCTCATGTGCACTCCTTGCAGCCTCTCACTCTCCTTGACCAACATTCTGCCTCTCATGCACCCCTTAAACTCTTGCACATCCCTTGTATTGTCACAGCAACTCCCCCACACCTTCCCTAATTTCCCTTGTGCACCTTCACCCACACACCTCCTCATTCTCTCCTCTACCCAACAGCATTTTTTTACCTGCTTGCCAGCCTGGGACTTGCAACTTTGTGCCATTTTCCCCACTGATTTTGGTTGTGGATAGCCAGCATGATGTTGCTTTGCCTAACAACGATGGCATTCAGTTAATGGCAGCAACTATGGCTGCAGAGATTGCTGCCAATAACCCATGCAGTCATGCTTTACAACTGCCTTTAGGAATGGAAATTCTAATCTCAATTGATGTTGTAAGTTGAGGACTACCTATAACCAGCATTCTTAGCATACATGGTTAGCAGAGCCGATCAAGAATTATATGAAAGAAAGCGATGACCGCTCTGCCTCCAGTATTTCACTTAGTTTCTATACTGGTTGCAGATGAAAGAAATGACTTTTATCCACTGCTACAATGAAAACGGTGGAGCAGAAGGTCTTCAAGAATCTATGTGACAGAAGACTGTCTCACTGGCCTTGGCAAGATGCCAGAAGCCTGAACCTTCATAGACCAGGACAAGAAATCTATTCCAATCAACTGGACTCAAGCAATGTCTCCCTCTTAGTTGCTTGTGTAACAGATCTTGCCCTTCTCCATCAGGGTAATCCTCTTTACTCTCTAAGCTTGCATGGAAGATGAAACTCTCATATTACTGTGTTAGCTTAAGAAACATAGCTTTCCTCATAACAAGTTAGTATCAATGATTGGCTTATTTACAAAGCTAGCTGTGACATCAACCAATTTGCAATATGCTTTTGTAGGAGGCATTCTGAAATATTTTTTTTTTTTGTACAAAAAACAACACATGTTGCATTTAGGTCATTAGAAACTATGTCAAATACTCCTTAGCATCCTCACCTGCACAATTATTTCTAAAGTATCCAATATGATCAGATTGGCTTCTGTTGCCAAGTTACCATCAATAAGTGCTTCATGTTCAATCTCTGCTCGGGACCTGGTAGAAATAAAATAAAAATTAAAAATCCATGTTCCTCCAAGACGTAAAACAAAGGAAAGCAAATGTCATTCTGCTTGTAAAATGGCATGCCTCTTAAAACCCCTCCTACAACAGTCCAAAATAATCCAAAAAGAAGAAAATGAAACAACTAATTTGTGTCTTGTTGTGCTTTTGCAGTTTTTAAATTGTGCATGGGATCTGAAGATGCTGCAGAACAGCTGCACCTCCAAGGAAGTAAAATTGGGCTAGATGGACCAATAATCTAGCTATTTTTGAGAGATTTTTTTTTCTGGCAAATACAGATAAAATGCAGGCAAACACGTACATACACACATATAGCTCAAAAAGGACAAATTGTTGGCTTAAATAAATAATGGCCAGCCTAAAGGGGATAATATTTTGATCGTAATAGGATCAGAAAGTTGATGTGTTTCCACAGTGGAAGCAATCTTTAATTAGGCTTTCATTAATCCATTGTTCTTTCAAACGTTTCTTGGGAAGCAACCCAATTGCAGTTTCATCGAATCATTTTTGCAATTGCTTTTGATGTTAATAGGACTGTTAAAACATTCCCAAATGTTTTCATAGCACAAAGTGGATTATCTTATATTCCTTGCCCCACAGTGCCTTATATAGTTATGTTTTTCTTTCAGTTTTCCTACTAGGTCAAAAGACTAAAAGATACCCATTGTTTCTTTATCTAAAAAGAATGATTAAAAGTGTAACCATTCTGTCAGTACAATTTAAGGCTCTTTCAGTTGGGGAAAAAAAACCCCTTACATGCTATTTTGTAACAAATAGCTTTCCATATTTCATAATGTGAACACAGGGTGGTGCTGTGTGAATAAGTGTCTTCCTAAAATGTCTGGATAGCAAAAAATGGAAATGTAGATATCTGGCAGATATCCTTGTTTTGCTATCCTATTCTTAAATGACACCTGCTTTTTAAAATCTGATAATGATTCCTCACAAACAGTACACCAAACTACTCCAAACGAGTTGCAGACAGCCTCCAGTTTGTGGAATGTCAATACTAAATACCTCAGAAGAAAAGCAGCATAAGTTTGATTTTAAGGGAAGAATTTTATTGTTTCAAAAGTAGAGGCTGGTCCTGATCCATACTGACTTCTGCTGGTCTTATGAATCCACAGCCATTGCTGAGAATTCTGGAAGTTGAAGACCACACATCTGGAAAGTATCAAGACTGGCTCAAATCCACATTGACACGAACCTGGTGTCCAGATATTAAAGCACACCTTTTGTGTGCTCTGCACTACAGGTGTGTGTTTAAAATTAACGGTTCTGTGGTCAAGAAAATCATTTTCAGATGTTATTAACTTGGGTGCTAAATAAATTGTGACCACTAACTTTTAAAATCTCCTTTAAGCCAATTATTCTGGGGCTGAGAAAGAAGAGCTGATTTCCTTACCTGCTGCATCTTTCTCATATTTGAGTTTTCACGCATTACAGATTGTTTTAATCTCCATCTACCACTTCTAGCTGCTGCAGGATTTACCCAGACAACCTATTTACTAATTATATAGTCTATAGCATAAATACTGTTCCAGCAGAAAAATACATTTCTTATAAATAAATATGTCCTATGACATCATACAATCCTTGAGAATTATTCTCAGAGTTAATTTAGCCCTTGGCACAGTAAAAGATTCCCCCATTGGTGGTGGTCTATGGCAGGGCTCTCGGGCTCTCTTGTCAAATTTTCCCAAAATCTCATCTACAGCAAATTAAAGAGGTATTAAAGATACAATTCATTTGGTATGCAGAGCTGTTTATGACCCTTATCAGAGGCGTTAAGGGATTATGAGACCATATGCTAGATCTGGAGTAATCACATAAGAATACAGACATGCCTCGTGCTACAGAACCGGAAACTTTCTGTAGCAGGATATATACACTCTCTTTTTATAGCCAAAGCATTTCACAAAACAACTTCTGCAAAGCATCTCAGTATGCCACGATCTGGGGATAAAAAGCATGCCAGCCAGCCAGGCAAAGCTGAGACTATACTTTTTACAGCTAATTAACCCCAACGTTTCAAATTCCAGCAATTCCTGATGTAACAATTACTGCAGTAACACACAGGCATACAGAACCTCTGCAAAGCATAAAAAAAAAAACCACACAGCTGCAATAACAAAATGGGCAAAGGTACAAAGTGGCAACTGAAAAACAAAACAAAATAAAACCCATAGCAGGATACCAGGGCTACAATACCTGATTGGTTTGTGGCTTCTAAAAATACAGCACATGTAGAAAAATAATTAGAGTCATGGATTAGGGCAGGAAAGAAGCAATTTTTAAACTCCAGAATACTCTACTGGATGACTAAGTGACCAATGACATATATACTTCCTGCATGTACAATGTATGGGTCTTGGCAGTATCTAAGAGGATGCCATATCAGTTTTTACTACAGCAGATTATTTTCTTAATAATAGCTTAACTTAATATAATCCAACAGATCTGTTCAGAAATCCCGCTGAGTTCAACACCTTATTCCCAGATACACGGGAACAAAATTGCTTTAAACATAGCTTACACAAGCATTTAACCCCTTTCAAAGCTATAATGTGAAAAAAAATGTGCTTAATCAGTGTCTAAAACTGTCCATATTGTAGCCCACTAAGGGCTACAAAGGAGACAGCAAAGTCTCCCAGTATTCTATGCCAGGTGCTCAATGTATTAAGCTATTAGGATAAGACGGCATTACTTATCAAGTTTTTCAGTGTTCTGCCTCCAGTGCGTCATGTCCTTTCTCCACCTCAGGTTCTCTTGACTTCCAAAAGCACTTCCTGAAGGACTTCTTTCTGCCAGGGAATTGTAATATTTAACATGAAACAATTCAAAATGGGACAACTGTACCCACACAATTCCTGCCAGCCTAGCAGTTTAAAAGCATGCAAACGTGAGTAGATAAGTAGGTACCACTTTGGTACCATGCCCTCGGTGTGTAATCATGCTGGCCACATGACCATGGAATGTCTTCCAACAAAGCTGGCTCCCTTGGCTAAGAAATGGAGATGACTGGACACGACTGGACAGGGGAAACCTTTACCTTTACCTGAGCAATAATTAATTCTTGGAAATCTGTTACTGTTCAGTTTTCCAGATATAACTTAGTACAACGACGAGGACTGCCTGCGTGGCATAGGGAATGAATTAATCAGCTCTGTGTGTATGTGTGCATGCTCTGATTATTAGAAGATATTAACAAATGGATGTCGCTCGTGTTCATCATGTAGAATTGTTGTCAGAGGCAAACTTGTGCATTTTACAGCTCCTGGGCCACATCCAGCCCTTTGGCTGTTCCTGTCCGGCCCTGCAAATTGCTTTTATTTTGAAGGCAACTTTTTTTTTCAATTTATGTATGTGCACACATGCAGGCCTACGTACCTTCACAGCTCTATTGGTTCCACCCACCCAACATTCCCAGTTTCTCACATGGCCCCTTGGGAAAATTAATTGCTCAAACTCTTTCAACTATAAAGGCACCAGTCCACTCACCCAATTGTCCTCTGCTTCTTCGTACCATTTCTTGCCTGGCCCCGATGCTTCCAAGGATAGCTTCTTCAAGTTTGGCCCTCATATCTTTTGATTTCTTAAAAGTCAGACTGTTCATTCTTTCAAACACTTTCTTCCCCTAGATGTTTCACAAAAGAGCAAGAATATAAAAGAAGAACATTTTCTTTCTAAAGATTAGAAGTTCTTTATAAGAATAAATATTAAAAAGATGAGAAGGCCTGTAAAATGCAAGTAATGTTAGAGGAGAAACCAGAGTTGGCCTTATTTCATCCAGAGAGAAACTTGGAAAGAGTAAAGTGGGGAGCATATAAAACAGGGGTCTTCAAACTTTGCCCTTTTATGACTTGTGGACTTCAACTCCCAGAATTCCTCAGCCAGGCACACTAGCTGAGGAATTCTGGGAGTTGAAGTCCAAAAGTCATAAAAGGGCCAAGTTTGAAAACCCCTGATATAAAAACATTTGAAGGAACTAATTCTGGTATCTTTTAGTGGAAAAATGCTACTTTATCACAGAATTTAACAGAAAATGGTATTTTTGGATTAGTTTTTTAATCATTTTTCATATTACCTACCCAAAGTAACATATTTGAGAGGGGCAGCCATATAAATCTATTAAATAAACAAATAAATTTGATAGACATATTTACAACATTAATACAAATCTGTCAGTGTTAACATTCTCAGAATCTTGAATTTGCAATTATATAGGAATCTTCTAGCTAAGTGCACTCTCCCTCTCATTATAATTCTTTTGAGGAAGCAAAACTATTCAACTTATGTTTCATTCAATATTTTCTGAAAGTATTCAATGCAAATTCAGGCTCTCAATGAAATCATACAATATCAACAAAAGCTTATGTGTCTCAAAAAGGGCTCAACCTCCAATACAATTTTAAGGCTTATATTGTGCAAACATTTGAAGAAGACCCGTCTTCCAATCAAAGGTATTGCATTTTTAAGTAGGTAGTGTTATTTTACCTTATATTCAAAGCAGGAAATGCAAAGATAAAGCAAATCCAACAAGCGATTGAGCTGCAAGACAGACAGATCTGTGAACCATTTCTGCAGAACACTTTCGTCAGCATTCTTCAGGACCCATAAGAGGCAGATCAAAAGGTTTCGACTGGAATCAGCTGAAAATGTTGAGTGTTGCCTGCTGGTCTGGATTTATAGATAGAACAGATCAAAACTGTGATTACCAGTTTGGTCCTGAAATACATCTAGTCCAACTAAATAATTTTTTTGTGGTTTTTTGCAGCTTTCGAAATGGGATGCAAGCTATTCAGATAGACCTAATGCCATCCTGCTTAGTATTAACATAAGGTGTTGAGAGTCTGCCAGACTCTGTATAAATGGGTCATAGTCAGTGGTGGGATTCAAATATGTGAACAACCAGTTCTCTGTGTGGATGTCGCTTCCGGAAGTCCATTCTGGGCCTGGGCAATAAAAAATTAGCTACCGGTTCTGCCAAAGTGGTGCGAACTGGCTGAATCCCACCACTGGTCATAGTATCCTCCCTCAGTGTGACTGTGGGTTTCCACGTCACATTGTGGGATCACACTGTAACTGGCTATAAGCTGAGAGCATATACTAGTCCAATATCTGATTTTTTTTAATATAAATGATGCTGAGATTCAATGCTTGGATGGCCTAGACATTGGTATTTGAACATAGATCTTTTAAACATTTATGTTTTATATTTTATTGTATTTTATTAATCTAGGTGAAATTTTAACATATATGTGTGACATACCCATATGCTAAAATAAATAATGACAAGGTGTGGATAACTCTTTCAACAAATTTCAGAATGGGAAGAGAAATGTTATATCTTGATCATCCCAAAGGTGCTTTTTCAAAAGACAACTGAACTTTGTTTTTCCTTGAAGACATTTCACTTCTTATCCAAGAAGCTTCTTCAGTTCTGAGGTGAAACCGAAGTGTTCAAGGAAAAACAAAGAAAGGCCAGTTGCCTTTTGAAACAAGTACCTTTGGGACACCCCATGACCTGGATGACTGAGAATCTCCATAGACGGTTATCTCTTGATGCACTGCTTTAAAGTACCATAGTATTATTATACTATGGTTTCCCAAAGAACTAAAACTATCATATTGGAATATGATGTATTAACATTTTCCTCTACTCATCCTTTAGTTTCCATGAAATATGTAAGAATAATGGCATCATTTCATGACATGGCTTTCACCCAGTCTTGTTGCTTTATGAATGTAGGCCCCCACATATTTATTTATTTATTTATTTATTTATTTATATTTATATATTTATAAATAGATCCATTGATGGAAGATGTTTTTGTACCGTTGATGTGAGGAGAAAACTGGTGGGCCGAGTGAGCTGTGGGACAGAGGTTCCTGCAATGGCCATAGCAACTGTCTGACTGATCATGTTCCCACCCTCATTTTCACAATCCTCCACTGCAACGCAGCTTGGTCTTCCACGCTGGTTGTGACTTTCTGCAGCAAAACAGACCAATCTCAATTAAATGAAACATGAACGCTTTAATCCAGTTACACAGAATACACACACTTCATAGCAAAACACAGAAAACCTTTGCATTAGATGGCATATAAACAGCCCAACAGAATCCCAATGAGAAAGGTTCATTTCAGCCATCTAGTCTAATTCAAATTAAAATAACCCCCTAATTATTGTTAACATGCAAGCAGAATTTGTACCTAAATACTCTGGGAGGACAGCAATACTGTAGGTATTAGCCTTTGGTAACATATCCTTTCAAGTATTTGAGGACTCTAGAATGTTTAGGTAATCATTTTTAAATGGGTGAAAGAATGGTGTCACTTTTTATTTATTTGTTTGTCCAATTTATGTAACTGCCCATCACACAAGTGACTCTAGGTGGCTCTTTGCTTGTCAGAAGGTCACAAAAGGTGATCACATGACCCTGGGAGACTGCAACTGTCATAAATACATGCCAGTTGCCAAGCGTCTGGATTTTGATCATGTGACCAAAATTCTCACGGGTATGAAAATGCTCATGGGTATGCTCAGGGGTATGAAAAACTGGTCACAAGTCATTTTTTTTAATGCCTTTGTACCTTTGAACGGTCACTAAACAAGTGGCTGTAACTTGAGGACTACCTGTAAAGCATGCATTAATTTCTTATTTTCTACAGGTAGTCCTCGACTTACAACAGTTCATTTAGTGACTGTTCAAAGTTACAACGGCCCTGAAAAAAGTGACTTATGACCATTTTTCACACTTACGACCATTGCAGCGTCCCCTTGATCATGTGATCAAAATTCAGATGCTTGGCAACTGGTTCATATTTATGACGGTTATAGTGCCCCCTGGGGGTCATGTGATTCCCTTTTGATAAGCAAAGTCAACGGGGAAGCCAGATTCACTTAACAACCGTATGCTACTAACTTAACAACTGTGGCAAGAAAGGTCACAGTTAAATGAGGCAAAACTCACTGAACAAACGTTTTACTTAGCAATGTAAATTTTCAGGCTCAATTGTGCTTGTAAGTCGAGGACTACAATACTCTGTTCAGCCCTGAACAAAACTGTGTCCTTGATGTGGAATTCCAAAGGCAAACAGACTTTTCAAGCACACATTCAAGCTTTTGGATTCAGGTTAGAAACTCTTTAAAAAAATAATAATAATTTGCTGCTTTAACTAAACATAGTATTCCCATGGCAGTGCAGCTAATGGGTTAGCATACCAAATACCTGTGAAATCATACAGCTGGGGCACACTCTCCATGATCACTCCAATCAGAGGCAAGTATAGTGTAGCCACCCTGGCCTTTACTTGTGGGTCAGAGTACCGTGGGTCAGAGTCATGGCTAGATAGCAAATTGTGTACCATGTTGATGACTTTCTTGTGCAATCCAAACAAACTGTTTTTAAAAAAAAGAGTCAGTAGGATGAGTTAGTAGTTTTAGAGTAGATATGGCACAGTAGCACACACATACACACACTCACTCACAAATTTGGCTGCTTTCCGATTATATCCCTTATTTTATGATTTGTGTAAAGTATACATTTTCAATTTCACCTGCTATCCTTTATTTAGTTAATCTGAGGCCACGTAGCAAATGTATTGCAGAACTAGAGTAGAATACGCAACTAGAATACGCAAAACAAGCCAATTTTCTGTGTCTTTAACGCCAGACACAAAATATAGACAGGGGGTTAATATATAAACTGATCTGCAGATAAATTATTATTGGTATTATTATGTGCATTTATGAAAAAGGAGGGGAAAGGGAAATGAAGATGCACAAATAAAAAAGGAAAAAGAGGGGAAAAGGTTAAAAAAAAAAGCACAAACTGCACAAATAATTTACAAATATAGTAGAATTTTTTAAAATTTTCAATGTTTCATTAAATAACTACGGTAAATACACCCCATCATTTTAAAAACTACTAAATCATTATTAAAATATTATATGAATATCAACTGCAACAGTCAACATGGTATATAAATCATAAAATAAGATTAAAAATTACAGGAATTTCTATCTAAGGCAAGCAATTAAGGACTTTATACTGAGAGAAACCCACATGTCAGATATGGAAAATATTTCCAAGTTGAATTACATTCTGTTTTAGATTTATTTTTGAAACACAAAGTTATTTTAGACAGTAGGCATACACCAAGAATTTAATTAGACATTCTTCTGCAGAAGGAACCAGTATAGTTTCCAAAAGGAAGTGTGGACTACTCACAGTTACCATAAACAAAATTAATTCAGCGTACTTTGTGAGATTATAACATGTAGTCATTCTGAATGTTTTTGGATGCTTTTTACGTTCAGTTTTAGATGGTTGATACTTTCAACTACTTTGCTTCTTCCTATTCTTCTCTATTTTTTGCACTTATGGCTGCAGCAAAAGTTCCCAAAGGTTAACTCTCAGAACCAGAGATAGCCACAAAGCAGGAGAACGTAATCCGTGATTATTCTTGTTATTGAATATCACAAACCAAGACTGGAGCACAACACATTTAAGAAGTAGTGATGTCACAGCAACTCATGTTAATAAGAAAATAAAAATGTGTATGATAACATTATAATGCAAATAATACAGGACAAACATATATGCAATTTGGTATCTGTGTCATTTATTATGTTGCATTTTCATCACTTGCCCTCCACCGTAGAGGCCCATGGTTGTACAAGAAAAGATAATAACACTGGAATGAATACATAACAAAAGGGGGGGGGGGAGTCTTAATCTAACTTATGTTGCAGCATTCAACTTTATCGCTTATAAAAGTAATGCCTCCTTCGAGTTGAGCACCTTGAAATCTAGTTCAAGAATTAAATGATAATTCATTAACAAGCTCTATTCAAAAGCTATACATGAAATTAAAAAAAAATAGAGTACTTTGTCCTGAATTTTAGAGGTATGAAGAGGAGCATTTTTTTTAATTTTCAAAATCATTTGATACTTGCGAGTTATGTGTGAATAAAATCACCACAACCCATTTTGCTTCAATGGCTAAAGATGGAGCAATTTCTGGTGACAAATACAAGCAAAGGGTTCGTTATCACTACTTGGCCTCTGCATATTCTTTTAAGTTCCTTATTTATTTATAAGCAATGTTTATGCCACACGATATCACAACGTGTTCCTTGAGTGGTTTATCACACATATATAAACAACAGTGTTTTGCTTGGCTCTGAAACATCCCAGTGATAGCTCTCTCTAGGAAATAGAGACCTAGAACTGATCACAGCCCGCAGATAGAGGTTGCTAGGAATATCAAGAGAGGTGAATCCTGAATGGACATAACTCATCAAAACTGACCCTAATATAAATGAGAAATGTCATCTCTGCAGTTGAAAAGAGTATATGGGAGGAAAAAGATCAATAATACATATCGTGTCTTGCAGTGAGGAAATGAAATAATTGCTGTATTTTTGTCTTTACACGATTTATTCATTAACAAGTGATGGAGTCAGTTAAAATTTATCTATCGCTTGCTCCATTACTTGCATTTTTCATGGTTGAGTTGTTACTGACCTCAATTACTTAATGGGAGACTCTACTATTCAACCACAGACTATTCTACTGGAAAATAAAAACTTGGTTTGAAACAAACAAAACAACCCCTTTCTAGCGACGCCATGCTTAATAAATTTTATTGTATTTTATATTTGTATGATTTTCTTGATGCCTGTGGGTTCTCATGCCAGGGTGATAGCTAATTTTTCTGTCAATGGATAGTTGTCCAAAAAGACCATACAGTACATTGGAGAATATAAAACATAGTCTAGCAATCAAACTATATTATCAACCATGCATTAGCTGTTGATTCAGTTTTTCACTTCTGCGATTAGACTATCGCGCTAGGTTGGCCATGCTGAAGGCCTTCAACTGTTTAAGAAACATGCAGCTGTTCCACTTATTTTCTCTTTTTTATGGTCCTGATCTAAAAAAGCTGTTCTGGTGGGCAAAAATTAGGTAGTCCTCGACTTATGATCGCAATTGAGCCCGAGATTTCTGTTGCTAAGTGAGACATTGCTAAGTGAGTATTGCCCCATATTATGATCTTTTTTTGCCACGGTTGTTAAGCGAATCACTGCAGTTGTTAAGTTAGTAGCATGGTTGTGAGGTAAATCTTGCTTCCCCATTGGCTTTGCTTGTCAGGTTACAAAAGGTGGATCACGTGACCTCGGGACACTACAATCATCACAAATACGAGTCGGTTGCCAAGCGTCTGAATTTTGATCATGTGACTGCGGGTATGCTGCAAAGGTTGTTAAGTGTGAAAAAGGTCACTTTTTTTCAGTGCCGTTGTAACTTTGAACGGTCACTAAATGAACTGTTGTAAGTCGAGGACTACCTGTGCAACTATCTAAGCAGATCTAAAGAGTGGTTGAGTGTGACAGGAACAAGGACTTGAGAAGAAATACATTCTTTCACAATCCTGTGACAATACATTTGAAGGGTTATGAGAGAGGAAATATGTTTTAAATTAGAGAAGCAACCTAGAACTAAGGGGAAATTTCCTGACAGTTAGAACAATTAACCAGTGGAACAACCTGCCTCCAGAAGTGGTGAATGCTCCAACACTGGAATTTTTTAAGAAGTGACTGGACAGCCATTTGTCTGAAATGGTCTAGGGTTTCCTGCCTGAGCAGGGGGTTGGACTAGATGACCTCCAAGGTCCCTTCCAACATTATTATTATTGTTGTTGTTATTACAGCCTGTTGGAAACAATTTCAAAATTTACCTATCTGCTTCAGGGTCTAGAATGACAGCTAGTTCAGTAAGTACCAGTCCTGCCAAGTAATGTTGTTGACGAAAAGGCACGGAGAGCTCAAACATATTTGCAATCTTCTGATCTTGGACATTTGTTGAGAATCCAGAACTCTGTTGCACAAAAACACAGCCTCTCATAAGTTTTATTATATGTATTAGTCCTAGTAGACTTCACAACCGTCATCACATTATTTATTTATATAAATATATTCGTAATAAAATAAGAGAGCATGAAAGAAGAAAAACAACAACAAAGAAAAACATTCAACCTTAGTTTGGCAAAAGAATTGATCTGCTTTTTTTATTACTGTGCAACAACTAACTACAACAGGACTTGTTTATTGCAAATTAAAAAGGGTTCTTGATATTTCTAGAATTTATGAATGGGAACCATATTATTATTATTGAGGCGTATTACTCAGTTTCCATTTTTATGCATTTAGCGGAAATATTAGGTATTGGAGCTAGGAATTTCAGGAATTAGACAGTTTAACGAGGGTAACAATTCATGTTAAGCCATAGTTTGCAATAACCATGTTGATAAGCTATAATAGGTACATTTATATTATATAGAGCCTTGGTGGCGCAGTGGTTAGAATGCAGTACTGCAGGCTACGTCTGCTGACTGCCAGCTGCCAGCAGTTCGATTCTCACCGATTCATTCATACACACACACCAAAATCAATCAAGTAACTGGTTTATATTTATATTTATCACATCAAGTCAAAATCGATCAAGTAACAGTTTGGTTTAACACAGTGTAATTTTTTAAAAAGTCTGCATTTAAAGAAGAGCAGAGTTAAAGAAAAATCTAATCTAATGGACTGAAATGCTGCAATCCACTGGGTTATTATTAGCCTTATACAACTACACTACACTTTTGGTATATTACTCACCTGTGATGTTGCTGATGACACTGAAGGAGATGGAGATGCAGGCGGTGTTAGCAAACTACATGGTAAGTTCAGAGTAACATAATGTTCATGGCTGCAGACAATCCGAAGGAAATCCAGCCTCAAAGACACCAGTGTGCTGGGGATTGGTAAAGAATAAAGCTTGGAGGACACCTGTAAAACAGGAAAAGCAAAGTTAAAAAGCGACAAGGAAGCTGTGTCCCTACAAAAGTAAATGTATCCTTGTTCCTCTAGAAAACAAAAATAAGAGAGCAAAGGACAGGCATGTTAAATTTGGTGTTCATAAAAAATGAGCAATACATTATTACTTTCAATTTGAGATTTAAACTATTTTGAAGCATTTACATGCCGCTTGGACTATCTCCTTGCTGAGTGTAACCACTCTGCTGGCTCAGAGTATGTTCTACCTAATCTGATGTTTTTTTTCCAACATCAAGAGCCAAAAAGATGCCTTTGGAGTCTACAAGCGGACTCCAACCGTGATGGCATCCCCAGCAGATGGTCATCAAATTCAGAGGGGAAGAGAAGGAGAGAGAGCAGGCTCAGAATCTGAGCCTCTTTGGAAAACATCCCTCTAGTCAGATACTACAATGTATCCTCTCTTTCCTCCCCTCTCCTTGTTGAATGTAGCCACCTCCAAGAATTCTATACCCCGAGCCCTTGTCTACTTTAGATGCCCTCCTTTTACCTTGATCTTGTCACCGTACCTGTTTGTAGTAAGTCTTAACAAGGCTAAAGACAAATCCTCTGTCCATGACAGACAACAGATCGTTGAGAAAAAATGCTAAACTAGTGTTGAGTCTTTCAATCATTTCTGTATCCTGCGTCAGAGGGGAAAAGAAAAAGGGAAAAAAAAGGAAAAGGACAGGATGTTTCAAAACAGAAGTTTCATGCCGAGGCTCTTATCCAACCACTTGTCCACTATTTGGAAATTATCTCTCCATATCGGGGTGTACGTTTGACAAGAGCACAACTGAATTGCTTCCATTACCTTCTGAAACCGGGAGACTATATCACTGGCGATTGTGCTGACCAGCGCGGCTATGTCATCCATGAAGCGCTCTGGAAAACGATTCTTTCTGGGTGCATCGAGTTTGTCAGCAAAATACAAATGATGCACAATACTTTTTACCTGGAGGAAACATATATTACCACTCACTATCACTTGCACACAAAAAGGTCAGTTGTGGATAGCGGTATGATTCGATATTATTCTGTAAACCAGATTTAATCATTAGAAGAATTGCGAGAGGCTCCAGGTTACCGTCTTTCCCCATTGGTCTAGCTCAGGGGTAGGCAACCTTGGCTCTTTTATGACTCGTGGATTTCAACTCCCAGAATTCCTGAGCCAGCTGGGAGTTGAAGTCCACGAGTCATAAAAGAGCCAAGGTTGCCTATCCCTGGTCTAGCTCTATCTTACCATTTGGAGAGTAACTTTCATAGGCATTTATCTTCTCCACAAGTAGATATCACCTGGATAATGAGTGGCCATTTCCCCTGAAAGTTAATCTATGATAGGGATCAGGAAAGAAATCCAGAGGCAATAACAACAAAAAAAGATAAGTAGGCCCCCTTTCTTTCCGATCATTTTTTCCCCCAATACAGGAAAGAAATAGGCAGGTCTTACCAGAGATTTGAACTGATCTCTTGCATAAGGGTTGTGACTTTAGACTGGGGCACATGAAGGTTTCCCATCCCTGCACTGAACAATTTTCTCATTCTCTTACCATAAGTTCAAAGAAGAACCATGCCTGCTGAAGAGCTGCTTCACGAACACTTCCACTGCAGACAACCCACTGTAAAGCCAGTTCTTCATGAAAAAGCTAGCAAGATTAAAAGTCATGTTTACACATCCAGCATTTAATCATTCTTGAAACCATAATTCAGGGATCCCCAACCCCTGGGCCACAGCCCAGTACCAGGCCATGGTTTGTTCAGAACTGCACAAACAGCAGGCAAGCGCCTGTACAGCTCCATTTGCGTGAGTGGCAGGCGAGTTGTGCATGCGTTCACCCACCCCTCGCGTGGAACCATCCGCTCTCCCCTCCCCTGTCACCAGTCCGCAAAGCTGGAAAGGTTGGGGACCGCTGCTGTAATTCGTAATATACAGGGATGACAACGAGCAAAACTATTTTTATGAACTCTATAGCAAGGGTTAGCGGTTCTTTAACAACCATTTTTAAAGGAAATCTCGCATAATGGGAGGAGGCGTAAATCCAATCTATGTCAGGTAGAACTAAAGACAAATTACAATTTCTCATAATTTCTCATTTGGGTTTCTCCTGAAATGTTCCTATTACTGTTAGAAAAGGCTGAATTTCTGGGAGCAAAATGAGAGCTCAGGATGAAAGAGAAATTGACAATTCCACTCCTTTCTCTAGTTTTACCAAAGGGAGAAAAACTTCTGACCACCTGGAAAACTAATAAGAAAGATTTCTTATTCTTTTCATCCATCTCTTAGAAAAAAAACAAACTGGTAGGGGAAAGCCACCTGTATAGATTCCCTGCTGCTCAGTCCCTGATGCTCCCAAGCAGAAGCAGAATTGTCAGTAATCTACAATTTCTTCCTACCTCCATGAAAGATAAGAATTTGCAAACCATCGGAGATAGTAAATGGAAGCCCTTGTAAGCTACACTGACGCACACTGAGCATTCGCTTAATCTTTATATTGCTCTCAAGTGTATGATCTAAAGGAATTAATATTTTTACAAATAATAAAGTGATTCATCTGGATTAACCTCCAAGCTATTTTATATTTGTGGAACTAGAACCAAGCCACTGCGACTCTAGTTGACTCAGCACTCTTCAAATTTGGGACACATTAAACAGTGACTGAACTGTTTATCCCTCCTTGCCTTGCACAACAGCGTGAAATGATCTTTGCTATATCTACCTTTTTAGTTGGCAATCGCCCTGTTAATGTTTGTAAGAAACTTGGAGTCTCTGTATGGGAAGACATGCGATTACAGCTTCGATCTGCAGCCTGCAAAATAAACGGTGACAGCACATTAAAATTTGCTATGGATGACAACGGACATTAGGAAAAAAATAACAGAAACATTTTAGATTTCAACCTCTAATGCATTTCAATAAAAGGAAAAGCAGTACTGAACTTTATGGAGATTTTTGAACTTATTAATAGACAATAAAACTGTTTGTTAAAAAAAGATTTATATGGTCCAAATGGAGATCAAACATTAGGCAATTTAACAACATTAAGTGTTGCAAAAGTACGAAACTAGTTTGTAATAACTTTGCATTTCGCTGACATACAAGAAAATAACATATTTTCTAACTTCTGTGTCGTTCACCCCAATTTAAAAAATATTGAGCTATTGCTCCAAATACCAATATTGATTGTATAGAACTACAGGTATTTCTCGACTTACGACAGTCATTGAGTCCAAAAATTTCTGTTGCTAAGTGAGACATTTGTTAAATGAGCTTTGCCCCATTTTGCAATCTGCAGTTGTTAAGTTAGTAATATGTTTGTTAAGTGAATCTTAACTTCGCTTGTCAAAAGGTCACAAAAAGTGATCACATGAGCCCAGGACACTGCAACCTTCGTAAGTATGAATCAATTGTCAAGCAGCTGAGTTTTGATCACATGACCATGCTTCAAAAGTTATAAAAAATGTTCGTAACACATTTCTTTCAATGATGTTGTAACTTTGAAGAGTCACTACATGAATTGTTTTAAGTTGAGGTCTACCTGTATACAATCAAATGGGTTTTTATTTATACATTTGGTTTTAACAACCCAATTTTTTTGATTTTTTTTTTTTACTCTTTTGCAAAATAATTAAACTGATTAAAAGCTGAAAGCATGGTCAAATGAATTTAACCAGGACTTTATTTAAATAGTCACAGTGTTAAGAAGCAAGCAACAAAAGTTAAAATTATCGTGATACTAAGCATTTCATATTTTGCAGTATATTACTTGACAAATTTTTCAACATTCAGTTTTCATCAAGAAAAATGAGTTGTTATTAACTGAGATTCACATGTTATGTAAAAAAAAAACAAGTTGGCAAACGAGGAAGAAAATGCATTATCAAAATCATAATAGACGATGGTGATGATGATGATACACAATATATAAGATTGGCCTCCTTAAAATAAAAGGAAATTAATGAGACATATTAATTAGACATGGCTAATGTAAATCCTAATTATTTTAGCAAGCCAATTTTATACATGATTGACTATGTAATATTTAGAAAGCATATTTCTATTTGGACTATATTACGTGTAATGAAAAGCTATAAAACAAGTGTAAAAATTAATTATAGAGAAGGAAAAACAGTTCTAAACATGCGTGAGGACAGGAAAAAAAATTAGGGATGGATGGTTTCTCATGCAAGCGGATGGATACAGGAGAAAGAAACCAGTAAACAGGGAAAAGTATGCGAAAGGGACCACAGCGTAGACTCAAGTGAAAAAAGATTTCTGTATGGTGATATGAACCAAAGATATTAAGAGGAAAATAAGGAAACTCTGAGGGAGTCACCACCTGTGAAGTCTCTGCATTCGGACTGGGGTTGGTTCCCCATGGGGCAGCTTTTGAAGCACCAGTGTTTACCCAAGAATTGGAGCGATCTAAGCCCTGGGCACATAACAGAAAGCAGCAAGGAAAGGAAAGAAATGTTACATGCCACAATTTGCATTGGAAATTGGGAGAGATTAATGTCTTCAGCACAAACGAATCACCAATTAGTACTGTTAAATAGTTTATTTAGTCCAAACAAGTATTTGTATCGATAGAAGAGAATATCTGTAGCGCAGGATTGAATTGTTGGGTCCTTAATGCTCTTTGAGCTTGCTTTGTTTTCTTGCAGAGGTTTCATTACCAAACTAGGTAACATCATCAGCACCAAAGACCCCACAATTATTTGTATTTTTCCTCCCAGGTATACGTGCTAAAATGTCATCAGACCAAGTATATCTTGCAGCACCTTATATAGGCGTAGCTAATAAGTGGCACCTTCTTCATTCCTGTTTACTTTTAATTTCATTACAGCTCCTGTTTATTTAAGGCATTTTAGGTGCTGTATTTTAGTAAGCTTGTAAATCTGAATGCATATACAGTAGTCTCAATTCAAAAGAAATTCAGTCAGGCTGCAAAGTCTCTGAATGTCAGGACATATATATTAACTGCATCTTCCTCTACTGGTTTTAGCTAGAAAAAAGCTAAACTGAGGATTCTGAGGATTTGGAACGCTGATTATATTTTACCAAATAAAAATCATTTATTTTATAATGCACAAGTCTTATTTCCAATCATTATTTCATAGTAGAAAAGATAACTCATATATATTTCTGGGAATTGGTTTTGTCTCATGGATATCTATGCTTCTGTTAATTGCTGCAGCCATCTGTTGACACTGTATAGGCATATTATAAATATCTGAATTAAGAATTGACTGTCAAATAAGAAATAAAAGACCCAGCACACTCTGAATATATAAACCATAAATCAAGAGCGGTGGTGGTGCAGTAGTTCGAATGCAGTATTGCAGGCTAATTCTGCCGACTGCCTGCAGTTTGATTCTCACCAGCTCAAAGTTGATTTAGCCTTCCATCCTTCTGACGTCAGTAAAATGAGGAGCCAGATTGTTGGGGGCAATAGGCTGACTCTGTAAAGTGCTTAGAGAGGGGCTATAAAGCACTGTGAAGCAGTATATAAAGTCTAAGTGCTATTGCTAAACACCTGAACTTGCAAGAGTTCAGGAATTCATAGTAATTAAACTTTCACAGTTGGGTTAGAAACTAAATCTCACTAGGAAATGTTCTGTGGTTGACTGGTTGATTTTCTATGCTCTACATGGTAATGAAAACAATTGCCTGATTTGGCTTCTCGGGATAAACAACTCTCTCTTCCAGTTTGGAAAATCTGCAGCTTCCATGCCATAATTCACACTCTTTACAAAGGATCCCTTGATACACTAGTCGGGATTTTGGAGGATGTTGAAGAATGCAAGATGCACTATATATATTGTATTTGAAACAAATTATTTATCTTACTTAATATCAAGTGAGATATAATAATGAGCACATCATCAAATTTTGGTAAGTGACATCATTCCATTTTAAAGAAAAAAGATTAGGATTGCCATGACATTCAATATCTTGAGAGCTTTATGGGATCCTATCAGGCAGAAACATTCCAGCTTATTAAAAAGCCAGTATGCTTCTGTAAGAAAGCTTCTATCTATTTTATTGCCAAATTATTCAGGCCAGGCTGCTCATGCAAAACTTATCATCTCCTAGGTAAATTTCATGTGCATATCACTCCCTCCGGCATTTCACAAAAAAAGGTCAAGGTGGTTTAATTAAGCAAGACTATCAAATGAATAACTAAAAGACTCCTAGCTCTTCCACTCAAACTTGAAATGTTTAATAAGAACAACTGGTAAACTTTTTTGGAGGGTGAAGCTTTTTTCTCCCTTTTCATTAATTAAATAAAAGGATTCTGTTCTGTGCTTCCTCATTCTTCTCTTGCCCTTGGTATGCAAGTAGACTGCTAACTCAAAATACTCAAAAGGCTCTCCATTTTTGGCGGGTAATTTTGCGGTGTAAAAATGCTTTTAAAATGCCTCATCAAAGCTTTTAAAGTGGCTTATAAAATATCCTTTGCCAGAAGGAAAAATGAAATTATTTAATGGTAAGTTTATGAGAAAGAATCTGTTCTTTGATGTCATTATCCTCACTGAAAAAGGCATCTGGAAATGCAACCTGCTAAAAGTGGAGGAATCTAACATTAGTATCCCTGTCACTAGATAGAAATTCTATGCTCACAATTTGTCCAATTTGAGGCTTACAGTCAAATCTGGAGCTAATACGGCTCATGATTTGACTCTTATTAATTAATAACAGTGGGGTGTTATTATTAGCAATCTTACCTTACTTCCAATGATTGATCGTACTTCATCATCGGGGGAGGTTGGAGTCCCTGATATATCTGGATTGCTGTTACTAAGGCTCCTGGAACGATTCAAGTGTAGGCTTGCAGGTCTGACAGCTGAGCGAGCCATGGTTGCGTAGTGCACGGATCCTCCTAAGCCACTGGGAGCTAAAGAAACGCATAGCAGGGGCCAGAAATTATTTATTTAATTTTATTGTTATTTATTTATTAAAATTTTATGCCGCCCAACTCCACTACAAGGTGACTCTGGGTGGCTTATAAGTTATAAAACAAATTTTAAAAAATAGTTAAAAGATTAAAATGACACCAATAATAAAACTATGATTAAAAACTGTATTAAAACTGCAGCTAAGAGAGCTAAGAGACGGATGGGATGGGGGTGAGGGTTATACCTAAAGTACTAATATCATGGTATCACTTTGATAGATAGATGCAGCTAATTTTTCACACTGACAGTTACAGAATACAGTTTCTGTAAGTTCCTGTATTTTGATTTCTTTAAAGGAGATTCAAATAATGTAGACCTCCATTCACTAGGTCAATTCTGAAGAAAAATTCAAATTGGCCTGGAAGTCATATAGTAGCATTTATTATAGGTAGCCCTAAAGTTATGACCGTATTGAATATGGAGGTATGATTGTAAGTGGTGGTGGTCTTTAAGCAGGTCACCACATGATTGTGCTCGATTTTAGAACACTTAGCAGTCATTAAATGAATGCTGTGGTCATTAAGCAAATGCTGTCATTATTAAACGAACTTGTTCTCATTAATGGGTGTTTTTTTTGCTGGAAACCAGAAGCAAACAAGACATTGGCAAACAAAAAACAAAAAAAACCCCAAAAGAGCAGTCACATGACATAGGATGCTGCAAACAGCCATAATTGCCAAGCGCCCAAAATGTGATCACACAATTGTGAGGTGGTGATAGTGATGCGGCCATTGGAACTTCAAAAACAGGCTGTAAGTAGAAAGTCCGTCATAACTTTGAATGGTTGCTAAGCAACTGGTCATTAAACAAGGACTGCCTGTACAGATTTCCTTTCCTTAATCAAAATATCTATGTTTAGTCATGACATCTATGTTTAGTCATAATCCTATATATATGAGCTTGAATACAACCAATGACAGTCCTTTCTTTATACTCTCTCCATACCCCTGAACAGTTGTTCCTATAGGTAGTGGATCCATAGAGTGGTATAGAATATGTAAAAGAAAAAAATGGCATAATTTGGGGGGAGGCTGTTAGTAACTAACCCTTCTTTATTAATTACTCTACCTGTTTGATCACCAAGGTAAAATTCAAGGACTAAGGTCCTGATATCAGGATTTTCCATTTGAATCCAATGCAATTGCATTTTAAAAGTGAATGTACCTGGGCATGGCGAATTGGGAGACGTATTTGGTAACCGAAAAACATAATAAATATATGAAGTAAGAAGACTATTTCTTCCATGCTGATCTTGGTTTCCTTCAAGGTTTTTGTGAAGTCTGTTTACAATAGAGGCCATGGCTTCAAAAGATGCTTGACCTAGATTGACTAAAAAGAATATAAAGAATTAGATATCAAGCTGTTTATTTCTAATGACAAACTATTGAGGGAAGGAGGAGGGAGGGAGGCCGACAGGCAGGCAGGCAGCCAGCCATAATAGTCATCACATTCAAATAATTTGACAATAGCTTAAATATGTGTTAAGTATGACTATCAGTGGAGATGGCACATGAATTCATTCAGCACTCACTGCCATAACTTCAAATGGTCACATAACTTCAAATGGAGCAATGATCATGACTTGAAACTATCTGTTAGTGTCCAGTTCTAAAATTATCACTTATCTTTTGTTATGGCTTGTAGTTGTCATGATAGCCAAAACAAGATGTGTTCTTTTATAGTTAATTCCAAAATCTTATAATAGTAGTCAATATTCAAAATTTATCTGAACCCTTGATCCATTTATATTTTTCTTAGATTAAAACGTTATTCAGCTTTTATTTATTTATTAAATTTGTTTGCTGCCCATCTCGCCGCAAGGAGACTCTTTTTGCTGCTTATTTCAAACTCTTTAAGTTCTTCAGCTTGTAGTTCATTTTTCTTTTGTTCAGAGCTGAAGACAAACTCACCCAATGAAAACTTTTCAAACTTGTTGTTCTGAAGATCTCTAATAGCTTTAAGACAGTTAACAGACAATTTCGGAAGGGATTAAAACATAAATACCTATAATTTTAAATGTAGCTATGGCATGTTAAATTACAGCAGAATAATTACAGCAAACAGAATTTATTTTACAACAAAGAGAATTCATATCAAATTTTCTCTTAAAAGCATAAACCGAAATGAAATACCTATTTGGCCTGCAATAATAGGAGGTCTTACGACCAAAAGGATTAATTTGTCAAGCAGAAGATGGAGAAACCGCACCACAGGCTCCAGCTGAGATGAGTTCAAAGCTGAAATGCTGCTCTTTAATTCATTTTCCAAGTTGTTCTCCATAATTCTCATGTCACCTATCCGTACAGGGAACATATGTTCATCCAGGGCATGAACAAGGGCAAAGAACTTGTCAAGATAGGGGTCCTAAATAAACAAATAATAATAATATTTTTTTTTAATGTTTAACTAGTCAAATTAATGCAATCAAGGCCAGAATTTAAAAATCATCAAATGATTCAAAGTGCAGATTGTGCAAAGAGGGAGAAGAAACAGTAGACCATATAATCAGTTCATGCAAGAAGATTGCACCAGTTATAAATAGCAGCATAATATAGTCACCAAAATGAAACATCTCTAAAAATTATCATGTGGTGGTAATGAAACATTGGTGGGGACATAGAGTTGAAAAAGTAATTAAGAATGAGCAGATTAAAATATTGTGGCATTTGTGAATATAAACTGATAAACTGACGCTGAAAAAAAGGAAAGTATGGATAATTGACCAGGGAATAATAGAATAAAAAACAAGGAATTGGAGATCACAAAATATCGAAACTGAAAGATGTAGGCATAAACTGGCTGTGGCGGTCCTAATTTCCATCTGACACTTACAAAATGCCACCCTGCTCGGATCCGCACACAGACTACGCCAATACATTACAATATCCTAGTTTCTTGGGAAGAATTCATTGTGTATCAGGGCCAACACCAGCTAAAGAACTGACAGTTGTGATTTCACATTTTTGTATATCAGCACCAATCGATTGCAAAAGGCATCTTTACTTGGAGCAGCTTATATCTTGTGACGATACCTTTAAAACCATCAAACAACCACCTCCGCCTATCCCAGGTCCTTGGAAAGGGCTCGATAGGTGGATAAAAATACCAAATCCAGACTGTGTGACCTCGACACAGGTAGTCCTTGACTTGCAACCATTTGTCTAGCACAGAGGTCTTCCAACATGGCTGCTTTAAGGCTTGTGGGCTTCCAATTCCCAGAATTCCTCAGCCAGCCATGCTGGCTGAGGAATTCTGGGAGTTGAAGTCCACAAGTCTTAAAGCGGCCAAGTTTGGAGACCCCTGGTCTAGCAACTGTTTGAATTGTCCAGTCTTTACATTTATGACCAACTACTCCCCCTAGCAACCCAGGAACACCATGTGCGCCTTTGTCATGGACAACAGGAAAAGTACAGGGGGCTGGGAGGGAGCCAGAGAGTACACGAAGTCAAAGCGTACCCCCCACTTCTTTTTCTTCCTGCCTTTTCCTTTTGCCCTCCAGCTGGTCTCCCTCCCTTTCTCCTTCCCCACTATTTTATGCTCTTCCATGCATAAACACTCTCTTCTCCCTGCTCCTGCATAGTTTCTTAGAGAAGCAGGCAGCACTAACTGGAGAAGGTCAGCTACAGCTGGGCTTCCTGAGCATTAAAACCATGAAAATGAGTCCTAGAGAGGAAGCAGTTCCATCAAAACAGCTTCCTTCCATCCATGCCAAAGATGCAAGTGCTCTTCCTGAAAGGAGAGGCTGGCACTAGGCACCACCACTAATGGCTGGTAATCCTCCCCATCTGTTTCTTTGCTGGGAGATGAAGCTCCTCTGCAAACTTATTTCAGCAAATTCCCAATATTCCTATGCAGTCAACTTGCATGGAGGCTTAGCATGCCTGGATTTTGGCAGGCACCAGAATGGAGAAACAGCGGTAACGTAAAGAGTGTGGGCTGCCTCAGGCAGGTGAAGGAGGCACAGCACAGGCATGAGTGTCTCTCTGCTCTGGCACTGAAACTCCGCCTTATTGAAACCCAAACCGGAAAGTGTGGACTTTCCAGAGAAGCTGGCACGGAAGATTGAAAACAGTGTCCGCATGATTGTTCGGCACTTCACAATTGGTATAAACGCGAAGGGGTTGCCAAGTCCCCAGATCACAATCACATGATGGGCAGGGATGAGACAATCTGAAATGGTTGAAAGTGGTTTATGGGCCACACATCACTCTGTCCAAGCTGTCAAAATTCCAAACAGTCATTAAGTGAGCGGTCACAAGTTGAAGCCTACCTCAACACTCAAGAAATTTTGTCGTAATATTAGAGCAACTTTATTTATTGTTACTTTCCCTATGTTAGCGGGATCACTCTTAATACATACCTGTGTGTGAATGGTTGATACAGCAATTATTTCTACATTAAAAACTCCTTTATGGTTGTCAACCCACTTCATTCCAGGCAAAGGCACCTGACAAAAAGCAATACATAATAAAGTGTAGGAGATAACCAGGCTGAACCCGAAGGGTCAAATACGTCATCAGTCTTGAATCCCTTTGCGCCCACAAATGATTTTTAATTCCACTGATTCTTATCTACCACCAATTTGCTCTGACTAGTTCAGATTCTTGTAGAGAGCATAAGCTAGAAGTATTTTCATTTGAACTGCCTGGTCTTCTGATTTTTCCATGCTTGACATAAAGTCAGTTATGACTTTTATTATGGTGAAAGAATAACCATACCAAAACCAGACATTTTAATCAACAAATGTGGGTAAATAGTTTCTAGAATTTACTTTCAAAGTAGGCCCTCTTAATATTTGGGGTAGTTGTTGCTTAATCCACTTTACTGACTCAGCCCCCCCCCCATAGGAAGTTGCTAACCTCTGGAGAGAGTACAGAATAAGCTTGTGGTGGCTTCTCCAAAGAAACAGGCAGGCAGAACTGGCCTGTTTTTAATCGTCCATTTTGTAGCATCGGTATCCACTTGAATGGGAAAAAAGAACCAAAACATCATTAGCACCTATCAAATCCACTGGAAGTCTTTACCCGTTCATTTACCTGTTTCAATTTTTACAGCTACCCATCTCACGTCCCTCACTCTGTTAAAATAACCCAAACAAAGTCATGTACGGTAAATGAATGAAAACCATTAACCAGAAATGTATCAAAACTGACTTAAGCATTATTCCAAATTAACATGTACAGAAATATATAGCGAGCAAAATGATTCCTGCAATGCTGAAAGTCAGAATGAAGGCAGGAAGGAAGGGACTGAAGAACTTCTGCGGCAGGCAGCTGTTTTACCGTGTAGCCAACAGGAGTCTCGAGTGGGGTGTTTTGTTTCTGTTGGCAGCTGACATGGTAAAAAGTGAAAAGTAAGTGGTGATGGTCCGTTAGAGTAGCAGGAAGCTTGACCTTGATTTCTTCGTGGAAATCTGGAGATCTGTTTTGAGATAAATAAGAGATTTAAAAGTTAAGTTTGATTTGTTTATAAAGCACTTCCTGTTTGGAAGACAGCTGCAACAGACCAATTGCCAACAATTCCAAAGATATGCTGGCAATAGATCATAAAGTTACATGCGGCATTCTGCCAATCCCCACATCACCACAACAATTGATATCCTCTCACTGAGGGCAGCTTTAGAGACTATTTGCAAAACTTCCAAGACAAAGCTCCTCCTAGTAGATCATATGACCTCTTTGGGGTTCTTTCCAAACAAAGACTTTCCTGAAACAAACCTAATCTTGGCAGTTCTCCCTCTATCAGGATGGAGTAATTTCTCTGATCTAGGAGGGAAACTTACAAAATCTTATGGTCCCTGGAAGACCCTTTCAAGGACCTAAGGATTGTAGTTTTAATTGCTTAGGCTTCTTCCCCCAGGGTTCAACTATTGTATTGCATTAGTTAAAGAGAAGCTTTGAGATAAAATGTTAAAAAAAAAAAAAGATTTCCTGGGATAATTTCCTATTTAAGATTTTTATTTTTTTTTCTTTATGATGATGTATTTTCCCTACGTTCACCTGCATTTCTGTTTAGCTAGTTAACATTCCCTATCTCAGAATATACTAAAAGGTTTTTAGATGTACTCAATACTATAAGATGACAGGTCATTCCTAGATTATTCTCCAGCTCTTGTTCACATAAATATGTATTTCACTGATCTGTTCTACCAATTAATGTTCTCCTTTCTTCAACCTCCTAATCATGTGCAAAGGGACAAAAAGGCTTCTATTTGTTTCATAGAAGATGTGATCTCTCTGGATTCATACACCATAATTTCAATCATGTTTACGGGATCATGAAGAGGGCAAAAGGGCACGAACAAGATGCTAGGGATCAGATAAATATACAGGTAATCCTGGAGTTACAACCATTTGTTCAGCAATCATTCAAAGTTGCAATGTAGCTAGGCTTGGTCCCCAAAGTTACAGCTGTTGCAGCATCCCCAGGGTTACATGATAAAAATTCAGATGCTTGGTATTCTGCTGCCTGCTGGGGAACCTCAATTCCCTTCATCTGCCTAGTTCCTCTTTTGGCCACCCTTGCTCTATATTGTCCCTGCCAGCCTAGACTCGCTGGTCCTCCTGTGCCTTGCTATCCTTGCTGCCTCCAACTGACTTTCATTATCTTTTTCAGTCACTTTTGATGAGGTGTGCCTGGACTGGCCTTTTGCAAGGCAGCTGCTGGCTATGCTGGGCCTTCTTCCCTTGTCCAAATCCAACATGGTCTTATCCCAATTGCATGTGGCCTTCTCACCAGGTTTTGGAAGGCAGGTGCACAAAGGAAGGCCACGGCCGCAATCAATGCAAAAGGCGGTCCATTTTAGCTGGGCCCTTCTTTCATGCTGGTACAGCTAGGGCAGTGGTTCTCAACCTGTGGGTCGGGACCCCATTTGGGGTCGATCGACCATTTCATGGGGGTCGCCAAGCAAGGCTGTCCGCCATTTTTTTTGTCCGACATTTTTTTTGTCTGCCATTTTTCCCCCTTTTTCCGGCGGGTGCCTTACCTCCCTTGGGCTGGGCCAGCTGGTGGTCAGCCTGCTCCGTCTCTGCCGCTTGCCAGCTACGCCTCGGCCGGCGCAGGGGGCGGAACCACGCATGCACGGCGCTCCCGGGCAGGGAAAGTCCTCGACTTACGACCGGTTGGGTAGTCCTCGACTTACGACCGGTTTAGTCCTCGACTTACGACCGGTTTAGTCCTCGACTTACGACCGGTTGGGGTCACGGCATTAAAAAGGTTGAGAACCACTGAGATAGGGCTTTGTTTTGTGCCTTCTAAAAGGCCACATACAATTCGGATATAAGATGGGCACAGCTTCTGGAAGAAGACCTAGAGTGGCCAGCAGCTGCCCTGCAAAGACCTTGCTGAGCATGCCTTATCAGGAATAATAGTAGTAGTAGTAGTAGTAGTAGTAGTAGTAGTAGTAGTAGTAGTAGTAGTAGTAGTAGTAGTAGTAGTTAAAGTTGGAAGGGACCTTGGAGGTCATCTAGTCCAACCCCCTGCTCAGGCAGGAAACCCTATACCATTTCAGACAAATGGCTGTCCAGTCTCTTCTTAAAAACTTCCAGTGTTGGAGCATTCACCGCTTCTGGAGGCCGGTTGTTCCACTGGTTAATTGTTCTAACTGTCAGGAAGTTTCTCCTTAGTTCTAGGTTGCTTCTCTCCTTGATTAGTTTCCATCCGTTGCTTCTTGTCCTGCCTTCAGGCGCTTTGGAGAATAGCTTGACTCCCTCTTCTTTGTGGCAGCCCCTGGGATATTGGAACACTGCTATCATGTCCCCCCTCGTCCTTCTCTTCGTTAAACTAGACATACCCAATTCCAGCAACCTTTCCTTATATGTTTTAGCCTGCAGTCCCCTAATCATCTTTGTTGTTGTTGGTAAAGGTCAGCCAGGGGCAGCAAGACTGGTAGAGATGGCAGAGTGCAAGGCAGTCAAAAGGGCAGAAATATGGGGGAAATAGGTGGGGGGGGAGAGTTGAAGAGGAGGTAGTCCTTTACCTTATCAAAACTTGGGGTTGGGAGGGACCAATTCAGGAGTGATTTGACTTGGGGTGGGCCCTTAGCTAATGACCAGTAGGATTTGGTTAACAACAGCAATTGGGATTACTGGGATTGCAGTCATTAAGCGATGTAGTCATATGACATCAGGCTGCACAACTGCATTCCTTAGTGTTAGAAATTCCAGTCCTAATTGCCATTGTAATGCAAGGATTATCTGTACTTGCATGCTTGTGGCTAGACAGCTGCAGAATCTCTGTTTTGAAATAATCAAAAGGATGAAATTCTTGCTACCCTGAGATCCTCTTTGTAAACTTATACGCGCAGAAGATGTTTTATTTCTGATCTCACAATATTATGCACAGTGTCGAGTAAAATAAAATGTGGCTTTTCAAAAAGTTTCTGCTTTTTACCTGTTATGGTAAACCACAGCTGTATAAGCTTCTTTTGAAAATTCAGCACAGCTAGATTTTCCAAAGATTACCTACAAAAATAAGTGAGCAAATATATTTTCAAAAAACATTCTTTATTCTTCAGAACTGGAAATTTTACTAAGCCAAAAATAAATACCAAGATAACTTATTTATCTGGCAAAGATTTATACCCTTGATAAATATTGTGATTTGGTTTACATACTGACTTGTTAAAAATAAGAATATTTGGCTGCAGAAACAGTTACTAATGTTTCAAAGAAAATAGATTTTATATATTTGCTGCATATTATGTGGTGTGAGCTATGTGCAGAAGTATGTAATTATTATTAATTTAATCGTCAAGTGACTCAAGGTGGCTTACGAGGATTCACATACCATAAATAGTAAAACCAAAATCAGATAAATCTTGGATCACAAACACTTCAGCAAGTTAACCCTGTTAAGTTGCAAGCAGGAAAATGCAGAAATGCCTCTTGAGCAGTTGTTAAAACAACACAAACGATTAAAAACTAAATACAGTTCAAAGAAGCAAATTCTCAAATAATTAAAAAGTCTGAGAAATCAGTGATCCAGTCTGATTCTGTCCCAGCAGGAATGCAGCCTGGTATAGCACAACATTTTGATGTGCATCTAATGTACAAAATAGAATAGGCATTTTACAGCATCAAAATCACAATGGAACACACATATTCACACACACAAAAATAACATACCGGCATTGCATTGCTTGGATCCTCTCCAAACATAAATTGCACTTTTACAGTAATATTTCGAGCAGATCCTTGGCGATTGGCAAAGTTAAGGCTTTGTGGATAAACATATAGAATATTTCTACAAAAAAAAAAGAGAGAGAGAGAGAAGTACAAAAATTACATACTGACTAAGGCAATATTAAAATGTCTACAGTAGGTCAGGGGTAGGCAACCTTGGCTCTTTTATGACTTGTGGATTTCAACTCCCAGAATTCCTGAGCCAGCATGGCTCAGCATGGCTGGCTCAGGAATTCTGGGAGTTGAAATCCACGAGTCATAAAAGAGCCAAGGTTGCTAACCCCAGGTCTAGGTCAGGGGTGTCAAACTGTCGGACTGCAGGCTGGATGCGTCATGCCGAAACTGTGCCCACCCCATTGCCAGCAATGGGAATAAAAGTCGCGATACATCGCGACACGTCATGTGACATTGTGAGTTTGACACCCCTGGTCTAGGTCAATGTTAAAATAAACTTGAAGATACTATACTTGTATTTAATTTCAAGGTTTGTTACACGAACTTGCTCTGTAAAACCCTCACTATTCTTAGGATCGAGTTAAATAAAGGTAATCCTCGACTTACAACTATTAGTTCATTGGCCGTTTCAAAGTTACAGTGGCACTGAAAAAAGTGACTTGACTTTTTTTCACATTTAAAACCACTGCAGCATCCCCGTGGCCACATGATCAAAATCTAGACGCTTGGCAACTGGCATGTATTTATGACAGTTGCAGTGTCCCAGGGTCACGTGATCACCTTTGGCGATCTTCTGACAAGCACAGTCAATGGGGAAGCCAGATTCACTTAACAACCGTGCCACTAACTTAACAACTGCAGTGACTCGCTTAAAAAGTGTGGCAAGAAAGTTTGTAAAATGGAGGGCAAAGCTCACTTAACAATACAGGAGTGCTCAACTTACGACCGCAGTTGAGCCCAAAATTTCCGTTATTAAATGAGACATTTGTTAAGTGAGTTTTGCCCCATTTTACAGCCTTTTTTGCCACAGTTGCTAAGTGAATCACTGCAGTTGATAAATTAGTAACCCGGTTGTTGAGTGGATCTGGCTGCCCCATTGGCTTTGCCAGTCAGAAGGTTGCAAAAGGGGATCATGTGACCTTAAGCATGAACCAGCTGCCAAACATCTTAATCTTGGTCACATAACCATGGTAAATGCTGCAGAGGTCATTAACTGTGAAAAAAGGTCGTAGGTCACCTTTTTCAGTGACATTGTAATTTCAAATGATCATTAAATGAACTCTTGTAAGTCGAGGACTACCTGTAATCTTGCTTAACAAAGGAATTTTTGGACTCAATTATGGTTGTAAGTCAAGGACTACCTGTAGGCCAGGGGTAGGCAACCTTGGCTCTTTTATGACTCGTGGACTTCAACTCCCAGAATTCCTGAGCCAGCCAAGCTGGCTCAGGAATTCTGGGAGTTGAAGTCCACAAGTCATAAAAGAGCCAAGGTTGCCTACCTCTGCTGTAGGCTATCTGACTGCAATCCTCAATGTTATTCAATCCTATTTAACGGAGCATTTATTTCCAACAAAATGGATTAGGATTGCACCGTGGCTACTATGCTGATTAAACAACAAAGGGACCTTTGACCTTAAAGGGGTGTGTGTGTGTGTGTGTGTGTGTGTAAGAAAGTATACTTAACATACTGAGATATGCCTTGGATCCTCAAAGAGGAATTTTGCCCATTCACTGATCTGTTGGCACAAGGAGTATAGCGAGTCACAAAATACTGGTCAGAAGACCAACCAGGGAAACCTCTCCCTATCATCCATATGGAGGTAACCACAAGTGAGGTCAAAAGAGTCAAAATGATGGCCATGACCACATGAAGTCATGACCGTTGTATATGCTCACTGACATTATGCATACTTACAAATGGGCAGGGCTTCAATTCCACAATCACAGCTGCGGGTTTTTTACTTATTTAACCTCCCTATGAGGTTATTGAACCCTTACTCTCAAATCCCAGCTTATCTGTCCCCCCCCCCTTTTTTTTCCCCTTCTGTGCGACTTCCAATTGGCAACGATTTACAAATAAAGCACTAAAATGCAGCCATTTCACCACTTCTATTTTATAAGAATGCATATGGGTCTATGCAGAACCCAACAGTATTCTTGAAAATAAAGATCTTTCAGATTTTGCAGTCTACCAATTTCTTTATATTTCATTTAATATTAAAATAATATTTAAACGATTTAAAAACCAGGCCAGGGAGACTTGGAAGCTGTCAAAGGAGGTCTTGTAGGCATCAGAGTGGCATGTGCCCCTAATGGGTAACCTTAAAGTTCTTTCTTTCTTTCTTTCTTTCTTTCTTTCTTTCTTTCTTTCTTTCTTTCTTTCTTTTCTATTTATTTTGTAAATAAATAGTTTATTTACAATAAACACCTATATGGAAACAAATGTGGATCACTCTTGTAGCCTGTCTTTCTCTTTTTCCCCATTCTAGTTCTATTTATTACTACATTTTATATCCTGTACTTTATTTTTACTTTTTTTTGCCATGAGTGTTGTGCAAGTTATCAATCACTTGTTGATACACACTAAAATGCAGCATAGACCACTTATAATGCATAAATCTCATCAGTCCATTTCTGTCTCACCTAGGAATGGATTGCCTTGGAGTTTGAACTGGGAAAATCCTGGTTGAAGTTTCTTCTACGCCGTTTACATTTTAAAGAATGTCATACCCATGCAAGCCATAAATTGATACGCTTAGGTATTTTTACAATTCAGAATGGTCTTCCTCCAAGCTTTCCTACATTTAGGAGCATTGCTAGTGATGTTTCTGACATTACTGAGTTATAACTGGCTGATGAATTATAAAACCATGCATCAAACAATAGGAGATGGAAACTACTAAGCCAGAGATAATAAAAAGCTGAAGGGACAAATAAAAGTTAGCTGACACATAAGCCTGTAATTAGTTAACTGATTAGGGCCCCATGAAATCAATGGGGTAAATTAGGGACAACTTAATTCTTATTGATTTAAATGTGAACTAAGCATAGCTAACTTTGATTTAGTCTTTGATTCTGTTTCCAGGTATCTGCTAAATGGGGACAGGAGAAGGATAAAAATCTACCAGTGGCAGTGATAGAGTTACATTCATTTTATGAAGCTATGATTCCTGTAAATTAACACTCAAATTTAAATCTACAACAAGGATGATATAGCCCTCTCCTTATTTCTTGAAAGCATTATAAACATCTATTTATTATAATAATATTTTCTCCGTAGTTAAGCTTTTGATTCATGCCTTTCACATAGTGGCTACTTTATATTATTTAATCCACAATATCAAAATAAGAGTAAATTTGGAAGCTTAATAATCTTTAGTCAATATTCATGTATTGGCTTAAAAAGCTGTACAGATAGAATGTTATAGTGAGTATTGGGGTTTCTGGGAGGGAATGGTATGGAGCACATGGGAAATCTAGAATTTCTAATCAGATGGGAACATTTATCTAAAAAAAAAAAAACCCTCCTTGTGAAGTTTCCATTTTTCTTGAAAAAATTGCCAATTCTGTTGTTTTTTGAAGTACACATTTCTCATATAACATTAACAAAAGCCAGATCTTTTTTCAAAAGTGCTAAGTAGTTTTATTAACTCTCATTTGCTGAGTAATAGATTATCTTGTCAGTCAAAATAATAAGGCAACAATTATATCTATTTTTGAAGCAAATATAGGGTTTGAAGACTCTCACTAATTATATATCTCAAAGATGTGGGCCACTATTCCTGTCCTTCGTGATTACTATCTTATATGCTTAGGGTAGACTAAAAAGAAAAACCTCTGTTGTATGTCTTGAACAGCATGTATGGTAATAAATGAGTGGACTTGGCAAGGTCTGTATCAGTTATTCCAAACTGTCAAAGCTTTCAAAATTAAAATAGCACAGGTAGCATAATATGTTTGCCACATACACTGACAGGCACACTGAAGTGGCCAAGTTTTATATGAATTGAAGGTTCCAAGTCATCTTTAAAGGTAAGCCTTATTTACACTTAGAATAACATTTGCTCTCAGGAAATGTTCATCGGATGGGCTCAAAGAGCCTAAACAGGACACAGGTTACATTCATTCGGGTTTAATTATCAACTACTCTAACTTGGTTTTTTTTAGGATCCAACATGCTATATGTATTTATAGGCATACTAGAACTCTCCCAGAGAAAGACAAATAGCAAAGGGAGACATTTCTTTTCTGAAATAGAATAAGCAGAAAGAACATGAAAATTATTCTAGTATTAGTCTTTATGATTTCTCTAGTAATTTCAGGTAGACTAGACGATCACTTGGAATCAGCAACTCCTGAGCTTAAGTCAAGATTTGCTATGTCTGATGATGTGCATTTGCTAGCCACTGGACTACTCCAGCTTGGGCGTGGCCTTCAAGATTTTGTGATCAAAACCAAAACCCAAATGGATGACATCTTTCAAAGGCTTAACATTTTCGACCGATCCTTTTCTGAGATCTTGCAACAAACCAATGAAATGAAAGAAGAAGAGCAGCAGTTAAAAAAAGCCACAACTAGGTTGCAAGCAGCTGAGGAAGAGATAAGAAATCTATCTTTGCAGCTTAATTCCAAAATAGACGTCCTTTCCATCGAGAAGATTCAACTGAAGGACAAAGTAGGGAAGCTTGAACAAAAAATAACTGAACTCGTACAGACCCAGCTTGAAATCCATGAGCCAAGAGAAATTGCCTCACTTAAAGTAAGTAAAAATGAAACATATTGAGTGTTGCCAAAGTAAATTGTATTCTGAGCAATGAGGTAATTAAGAAAGATTTAGTCATTCCTGTTGCTGCTGGACTAATGTGCTGCATTTTGAGAAATAAAACCAACATTTTTCTTAATGCTGTTTTATTGTGGTTTTTATGCTACCCATAGCCATTAATGGAACGTGTAGCATGTAAAAAGTCCTAAAAATAATCAAGAAAGTAATGACTGCTTCTTGATCTAAATTTGCTCTGACAGTTTTCCTTATTAACATTTGTACAATGTAAGTTACTACTTTTATTTTGACAGTTTGGCTTAACTGTGAATATTCAGACTAAAAGAAGTAATTAACAAGTGATAATTTTATGCCAAAAAGAAAATGAATAGTAAAGTTAGCAAACTGCCTGTTCCTTCATCCTGTAATGATAATAGTGATATGCTTTTTCAATAATTCATTTGGATAGTTCATAAGGAAGAAATTGGCATCCCTTCACTTTTACAAACCTACAGTTCTATTCCAGGCATAAACACTGCATCTTAAAGTTGTTAATCTGATTTTATACACTGAAGTTGGTTAATAAAATTTGAAAGATCATTTAAAAATAAGAATATATAACATTTGCTTACCTCTACAGTAAGCATCAAGAATACATTTCTGAGATACAGTGTAATTATGGTACATGCACTGATATTTTAGCCATCAGCTGAAATGGACTCGAACTGTACAGTTTCAGTTACTGTTTATTGGTCTGAAATGTGAAAAAACCTGCCCAAACTGAATATATAAATAAATAAAAACAATGCTTTGATCGTCAGGAAAGATATATCAAAGATAGCCCTAGGGTACAATGCAGTCAACAACTGAATAAAATCCATTGGTCTTTGTGGACAACATTTTAATATAATTATCAAATTTATATTCCAACCACTGATGCAGAAGAAGAGGAGGCCGATGAGTTTTGTGCTCAGGTTCAAACTAAAATCAACAGAATATTTAAGTAACAGGCTGGAGACATGAGTGCCAAAGTTGGAAATGATAAGGAGAAAAATATAGTTGGACTGAATGGCCTAGGAAAGAGAAATGAAGCAGGAGAACAATTTATCCATTTCTGGCAATCCAACGAGTTCTTTATTATCAGAGTCTTCAATCAAAATGATGTCTATATACAGTACATGGACCTTACTTGCACATAGAAATCAAATTGATTATTATTAGTACAATAAGATGGAACAGCTCAATTATAATGACATGGCTAGGGCTGATTGTGGAATAAATCACGAACTGCTCATGTCCAAGTCAAATTAAAGTGGAACAACTAAGCCAACCTGTTTCTATGGTACAATCTTCAGCCTATATTCGCTATTATCAAGGAGAATATGAGCAACTGCTCTGAGGTCCTCAACCTCATTGATAGGGAACCAGAAGAATAAGGAATCTAATCAAAGTACGTTTTTAAGGATGAATTTGAAAAGAGATTGCCAAGACCAACAATCAGAAGAAATGTTGGAAATTGGCAAGAAAAGAGAGAGAAAAGTCAAGGAAGAAAAAAAATCAAGAAGAAATTGTCCAAGAATTATTAGAAGATACAAGAAACAGTATTATGATGACAACTTTACATATACAGAAGATAGACACAAACAAAAATCTTCCAAAAGATCTCTAAATTCAGAAGATTAGCCTCAAATTGGTATGATAACATTAGAAAAAGGTCCGTCAAAAGGAGGATCAGCAAAATGTGCAAACTATCACACAATATATTTTACGTGCTTCACAATGCTTAAGACTTATCCAACACAGATTACAGCCCAACATGGAAAGGAAGATGATCAGGTTCAAAGTATCATGTTTTGGAACATTATGTGAAGACTTAGCTCTCTTGAGAAGACTACAATGTTGGGAAAGGGGGAAAGAAAGGGACAAGAACGACAGCAATAAAATAGATAGACTTGATTACAGCGATAATGGATAGTGTTATCAGAAGACTTGAAGGGCCAGATGGGGACTGACCATTCTGAAGAGACTTACCTAAGTGGTCAGTAACTGACAACAATCTGATGACACACTATCAATCAAACATATACTATTACCACCCATAAACTTCAGACGACTGCATCCTAGGGAAAGCTTGCTATGCTAACCTATGCCAATTTCTTAAACGATGCCTTTCATATATATTGGACTATGATTCTTTTTGAAATGTATTGGGATGACTTAAGGGCATACTGGCCAAGAAATGATAGAAATTTTAATTCGGAGTGCCTGTAACATGCCAAGTAGGGAAAAAACATTTTATTATACATATATTTTGAATATAATCTGTATTAATTTTGGTCACAACAGTAATAAATAATACAAACTGAACTCAGAGAAAGAGAATAAAAAAAGAATAAAAAAGAAAATAATAAGTTCAAGGGGGGGAAGGAAATGAAAGAATGCAATAATGAAAAAGAAAATATATAAACAAGTGATTTCCCACCTTCATTACAAGTATAAACAAATCTAGCAACTATTCACCCATTGTAAGATTACAGTGCAAATAAGTACAGTGATTTTGGTAGAAATGAATGGGAAGATGGGAAATAGAACACTTCAAATTTGGAGAAATGGAAGAAGACCAATGTGTATTTTTAAACATGTGCCCAATGATAAGATATATTTAATGGATTTTTCAGACAACAGGTTATTGTTGTTAGTTGTGAAGTCGTGTCCGACCCATCGTGACCCCATGGACAATGTTCCTCCAGGCCTTCCTCTACCATCTTCTGGAGTCCATTTAAGCTCACTCCTACTGCTTCAGTGACTCCATCCAGCCACCTCATTCTCTGTCATCCCTTTCTTCTATTGCCCTCAATCTTTCCCAGCATTAGGCTGTTATTGCCAAACATTTATTAAAACATAAAGCAACAGTTTTGAAAAAAAAAAATGATCTGCCCATCTACTCAGAGAAGCACTCTGATTTGGCAAAATAACACTAGGTAATGGGTTTATCTGGCTAAGCTCTTGTATAAGATCTCTGCTGCTTACACTACTGCAAAAAGTAATATGGAGACATTTTATACTTCAGATTATGGTCCTTTGAGTCTAAGCTATTTTTTTCGCTTTCCCTATAGAATTTTATTGAACAGCAAGATGGTCACCTCAAACAACTTCTCAAAATTGTTCAACTGCAACATGCTCAGCTCACAAAACAGCAAGAGCAAATACAGGACCTGGAGGAAAAGGTAAAATTGTTGAATTTTAATGGCCATCTCTAATCTAGGGGCAATTTCAATGGGTTCAGGTGACTTATAAGACGGAAAGAAAACTGCAGCTTTCAGAAAGGTTTTATACAGTAACTTCTAAAATGTCTTAGGATTTCAGCTTTCATAATCTCATTCCTATGTATCAGAGGTCCCAACCCCTGGCCCATGGACCAGCACTGGGCCATGGCATGCCAGAAACTGGGGCGCACAAATGAAGTCCCATCTGTGGGATGCAGGCAGCATGCGAAACCACGCTCCCTCTGGTCCACGGAAAAACCTCTCTGAATGGAATCAGTCCCTGGTGCTCAAAAGGTTGGGGGGGCACTGCTATATATGAAAGATCAAGTTTACTAACAGCCAAAACCAAGGTACAATTATTTAGGGAGCCAGGGTTGAGAACTCTAACTATACTTGAGTTTGCCATATTCAATATGAGAATGCAGAAGATGCATGTTTAAGGCTTATTGTGTTCAGACGAGCTTCACCAGAAGGTATGTTTAGTATTGCAGATTTCATTTTCTGTTTAACACAAGAGGATTCAATAACTGGGTTCACACCTCATGCAAGTTATAATTTGGTTTGCTTGGTCAACAAATTGTGTGAATTCAGTCGCTGTCTAAATTATGGTTTATGGATTAATTAGCATGTGTATGAATCCCATCCACCCAGCTCTTTAAAAAAAGTCTAGTGTTTTGCAGTTGAAAGAATTTATTGCTCATTGTGTTGGTTGGAAGGAAGCGATCTTAATCTAGCAGCTGCAAATATTTGAACAACTACTAGATGGAAGCAGAGTTCGGTTTCTCCAGATTTTTTTTAGCCCTAAAATGGCTATGTTTAACTTCTTCACATGACATGGTTGATACTGCTGTCCTTAGTCAAAGGTAATTTTTTTCCATGGTGCTTTTTCTTTCTGGTAACTTTTCTTGGGCAGAAGACATCGCCTGCATCACTCAAGCATGTAGCTGCATAGTTTTATATCACAACTCTGTATGTAACATAGGTGGTCAGAATAGACATATGCAAGAATTTTTGTTCCCAATTTTTTTCCTGGCCCGCAATGATAAAGGGACTCTTATCATAAGTTGAGTTTCTCCTCCCCCAGTCCAACCCTGGTGCATTCATACATTTGAGCTTCAAAATCTTCTCTGAACAGGCAACCTGTCTTACTAACGAAGTACAGCTATAGAAATATTTTTTTTCTATTTACAGATAAACAACCGCAATTTTCAAGAGGACTCGCAATTATTTTCTACGAAGGAAAATGACAGGCATCTTGAACTGAAAAAAACATCTAAAAATAGCAATTCTAGAGGTAGATGTGCTTACGGATTATTATTATTTTTAAGCAATTCTAGTGTTTGGAAAGCAGAACTATTTTAGAATACTGTTCTGGTGTATACTTTGATACTAGCAGTATGTATGTAAGAAACAGATTTGATTAATTATGCTTATTATTCTCCCAACAATATTAAAAAGCATTTATTTAAAAATAAGGGTGAGATCTGAAATAAAATGTTGTGTCTTGCCTATCTCCTGAAATAAGATTAAGTGTTCTTGTTAGTCCTTTCCTCCAAAACAAGCCATTCTATTCAATCTTTCATAATTCTCTTATTGAAATAGCGGTACTAGCTTCTAGCTATTTTCTGGGTACAATTCAAAGTTCTGGTAAAGATCTTTACAATCCTGAATGATTTGTTGTTGACTATTCATGACTTGATGAACATTATTTTGGTCTGCCAGTAATGGCTTCTTTAGGGTTTTTTTTAAGCTCATACTTCTGTTTATAGTGGCACGTTATCTTCTCTTCCATTCCTTTTCAAATGCTTTTGATTTTTACGAGCATTCTGGATTTTCTTCAGTGACTCTTATCTTCATGTTATGTGACCAAAATACTGAAGGTTTACCTCTTTTAGGCTTCCAGAACGCGATCTGATTTCACTTCATCCAGAACAGAATTATTTGTTCTTACAAAAAAGGCATTTTCAACTATCTTCTCCAGCACCATAATTCAAAAGCACCAGTTTTAATTAATTCGGACTTTCTGATGGTCCAGTTTTTAGCCACGTTAAAACCAGAGAACCATGTCTTTGACAAAAATAGGAATGGCTTGAGGTCAGGATATTTGAAGGGCTGCCTATTCCATATCAAACTGCAAATCCACTGAAATCATCTTCAGAGGATTCTTTGTTTGTCCCTACAATTCCAGAAAACCTTGATCTGCTTGATGCTATGAGACAGACCTGTCTCACTTCCTCCACTAAAACCTTTTGGAAGTTAGTGGGGAAAAAATGTTCCCTTTGACTTAGGATAGTTATCCTGCTGTTTCCTGCTGCTGTTTTTATCAAATGTCCTACAATCAATATTTTAAAATCACTGCTATGTATCACATGATTGCACCCAACTTAAGCCATTAGTTTTGGCTGCAGTCATTAAGCAACTCACTGTGGGTAGTTAAGTGCAGTGTTATGTGGCCGTAACTTGCTAGTTCTGCCGGCTTCCCCATCTTCTTTACTGTTGGAAGCTGGTGTAGAAGATCACAAATGATAACCATGGGACATTGTGACTATTGTGAATCCATGCTGGTTGCCAAATTTCCAAATCGGGACCATGTGAATGATTGTGAGGATGCTGCAATGTCTGCAAGTTTAAGGACTAGTTGTACATCTCATTTTTCAATGCTGTCATAATTTTAAATGGTCATTGAATGAGCATTCAGTAAATGAGGATAACCTGTTGTCAAGTCCCTTTTTTCATTTCACAAGATATTTAAATCAAGTAACTGTTCCCAAACTCCAAAGAGGGCTAACATTAGCATGCGTAATACTTTCTTAATATTTGTTCTCATGGGCAAGGTTAGACTGTGCCTTTTTGGAGAATAGTCCATAGAATATATTGCCCATATTTTGTCACATTGCTCCCTTTATAAGGATGCAAGTACCTATTTCATAACTCCCTTATCTGATGAAAAACCCAGATAATTCTGACTTATTTGTAGGTACAGATAACTCTTGTCAGAACAATATGATTCGGTTTCCTTAAATGTAGCAATTTTTTTACACTATGTAAAACTCAACACGCATTGATTATCTTGATGACCTTATTAAAATTTTATGCTTGGATTTTATTAACTGAAAAAAATGGTTTAGTTCCTTTGTTAACTTGGTCTTAAGACCAGTAAGAATTATTTCTTAATTAATTAACTTGGACGATAAATTTTTTTACCCATGTTTATAAGGAGTCTTCTGAAATTATAACTATAAGAAACCAGTGATGGGGGAAACGTTAAAGATAGAGTTCTCATGTACACTTACAGTAAAAGTATTCGGACATAGATAAAGGTTTATTTTTTTAGAACTTATCTTTCAAAGTTTGTTTAAATAACTACTTAAACAAAGTAATGTATATTCTGAAAAATTGCATAGATTTTCCTAAATTTCTGTTTCTTTTAGGTAATGCTACTGATTGTACTTGGGTTTACAACGCAGGGGAAAGATCTAATGGGATTTATTCTATTAAGCCCAATGGATCCATGGCATTTAATGTTTATTGTGAAATGGAAGGAGGTATGGCCGGTTATATTAGCAATCTTCTTTTTTTTAAAAAAACTAATTCTTATCTTCTGCAAAGTGCTGACTTCCTTATATATTTCTTTATTAAACAAACTTGCTGTCACCACTCTTATTTGTTGAGAATGCAATTTTAATCAAATAATAGGTAGCATGAGGTATTTGAATTTTTTGAGTATAGATGGTTATTTATTTTAGAAAATATGTAAATCATTAAGTCATTGTCTAATTGGGTTAGACAAATGCATATTATAATTGTATATGAACAGAGACTAAATTGGATAGATTGAAGTTCATGCAGAAATGCAAATTTAGTCAACGTTGTGCAAATAATTTCTCTTTTGTTAAAGTGTACTCCAGTTCTCTTGCGCATACAATTTGATGTAGCATTCATACTGAGACATAATATATACTTTGCAAACTCTAAAAATTATTTAAAAGTCAAATGGTTGTATTAATAATTTATCATTTTCATCTACAGAAAATTCATGGACAATCATTCAGAAGAGATCTGATGGATCAGTCGATTTCAACCAAACTTGGGAGAGCTATATAGATGGGTTTGGTAATCTTGACGGTAAACATATTTTCCAACTTACTCAAAGTAACATTCATGTGTTTGTTGACTATAACTTTTGAAAGGGGGAGAAAAACCCTGGGCATTGGTAAATGAGATCTCTTATTTGGTCTCAGAGATTATTCTCAGAATTGTTTGCTCTTTTTCTTCCCTTCAACCTTTGTCTATTTAAATTCCTAGGCACAGGGCATCAATCATATACAATTATCACAAGCACATTTAAATAGATTTGATTTAAACAAGTCCAAATCTAGCTAGTCATAAATGTAGATCTGAATGGATTCTATTCATGCACAGGCTACAAACATTTCTGAAAGAGGCACCTGTGCAATTTGTTCAGTTACTTTCTAATATTTTTCAGTGATAAAGAAATGGAGTGTTAGGATTTAACACTTTTTTCCTGGAAATGGTATAGAACAGAAATAAGGAAAAAGATGAGATTTTTAGCAACCGGAGTCATTAAGCAGAGATTTCAAATTAGAAAGGTCTGTGACGCCTACATGGGCAAGATCAAAGCCATATGTTATAATCATAATGGCCAGTTTGCAACATAAAATAACAATAAATTAATGAAGGATAACTTGTTGCTATAATAAATATATCAATTTTTTTTTAAGTTGCAAGACTTTCTTTCTTGTTTCTTATTTATTATAAAATACTGTATTATTAGTGCTTTATTCTCAGCATAGTAAATTTATTGCTGCTCATGCAGCTATATTCTGTTCAGAACTATATCTTCTTAAGAAATGTTTTTATACCTTTCTCTTAAACATGCTTGTTCAATGAGGTTTACTTCTCAGGCTTAGGCTACACACAGTCCACTTAAATGCTAAATTTATGTGTGTCATAATGTTGTAAATGAAACTACACAATATCCATTAAGGGTATTTCCCCCCCCCCCAAGGATTACAGTAAATATTCATATATACCACTTGCTTCACTTATTACACAGATTCACTTATATATACTTCATTTAAAAATGCCTTTTCTCTCCTTTGCAGACTTTTCCTATTTATACTTAGTTTTAGTTTCCAGCTTTATTGTTCATTAATAAATACTGTAAAAGGGATAAACCTTTTGTAGGTGATCCAAAATTCAAGGACTTCCAAGACTCAAGCTGACTGTGTAATTCATGCAATTCTCAAATCTCGCACTTAAGCTTTCATCTCCCCTCGGATCAGCCTTAATCGTTCTGTTTGTCCACTTGTATTTTCAGGAGAATTTTGGCTGGGCCTTCATAAGATCTATTCCATTGTAGATCAAGCTGACTACATTCTGCGTATTGAGCTTGAAGACTGGAGAGCTAAGAGACATTATATTGAGTATATATTCAAAATGGGAGGCCCAGACAGAGATTATGCACTCATTCTCTCTAGGATAACTGGGAATATTCCAAATGCTCTACCTGAACAGAAAGAAATTAAGTTTTATACTAATGATCATGGCAGCAGCATTGAAAGAAAGCTTAACTGCTCAGAAAGTGACACAGGTAGATATTTTCTGTATGTGCCAGTGTTTCAGGTTTTCTTATAATCTGGGGCAGTGATGGTGAACCTTTTAGAGACCGAGTGCCCAAACTGCAACCCAAAACCCACTTATGCATCGTCGGGTGCCAGGTGGGTGTGGCCCATTGGGTGGGCGTGGCTGCGGTGGTAACAGCAGACTGGGTGGGACTAAAAAGTTCAATCAATCAATTCCAACTTTGTAAATTATTTTTTTTTCCCGCGAGAAGTTGAAATTGACTGATTGATTGAACCTTTTTTTTTTTGTACACGGCGGCAGAGGCCTAAAGCGAAAAGGTTTTATAAAACCCAGCTGAAGGCCTAGGACTGGGGCGACGGCGCGCGTGCCCACAGAGAGGGCTCTGAGTGCCGCCTCTGGCACCTGTGCCATAGGTTCGCCACCACTGATCTGGGGGGAAAGTGGCAGAGGGTAGGATTTTCATAACTGTACCATGCTAAGAATAAAACACTAATAATATAGTGGAAGGAAGGAAGGAAGGAAGGAAGGAAGGAGGGAGGGAGGGAGGGAGGGAGGGAAGGAAGGAAGGAAGGAAGGAAGGAAGGAAGGAAGGAAGGAAGGAAGGAAGGAAGGAAGGAAGGAAGGAAGGAAGGAAGGAAGGAAGGAAGGAAGGAAGGAAGGAAGGAAGGAAGGAAAAAGAAAGAAAGAGAGAGAGAGAGAGAAAGAAAGAAAGAAAGAAAGAAAGAAAGAAAGAAAGAAAGAAAGAAAGAAAGAAAGAAAGGCAAATGAAGGAAAAAATCAAAGAGGATATATGAAAGAGAACTAAATGTCCCTTCAATTAAAAAAGTTTATTGCATGCAAAAAGCTGGTACATAATAGACAACCCAGTGTTACATCTCCTCTGTTTTAGGTAACAGCTTTCCACAGATTAAGATATTTTTTAAAAAAATATCCAATTGTATTATGTTACATTCTCTATCAGCATAGAAAGCATTATCCTGAAGTTCTCCTGAACATGTCATTGTCTCCAGATAACCTAGTTAGAGAAGGCTTTCTTCAAAATACAGTTGTTGTCATCATTGCCACCACTATGACCAAAGGCTATTGTAGTTGGGACAATGAGAATCGTGATCCCAACTCATCCCTACCCAGGTTAAATAAGATACTATTAAAGACAGTTAAAGGCTGGACATTTGTGGGAATCCCAGTCCTACAGGAACAGCCTTCTTATCCAAAAAGGTTTTAATGTATTTTTCCATGTGGTTAATATGTTGGCATATCAATTCAATGGTGTTCCTATTATTACTTTCAGGTGGTTGGTGGTTCAATGTATGCGAAGAAACAAACCTGAATGGAAGGTACATCAGGTCAAGCTCAAAAGGAAAACTAGAGAGGAAGAAACAAGGACTGTATTGGAAGCCTCAGAAAGGAAAACCTTGTCTTCTCAAGTCAACCAAACTGATGATACATCCTACAGATTTTGAAATATTTGATTGAACATTATCAAAGTTTACCTAAGAAACTGCAAACTACTTCAGTCAGAATCCAGTGATAGCCCTTCCTGGTGTACAAAGAAAATCATATTAAGGATGTAATCAAACCATAATAATATTCTTCCTTTGGATATATATACAGTATATATCAGTCTACTTTGTCCTACTCCATATGCTCAAGAAATAAGCAGAGCTTTGCTGTTAGACAAGGACAATTTTCCTTGAGGGTCACTTTAGTAGAGGCTTTCTTAGTATCAATGCTACCTCAAGAAAGATCTCAGCAGCAAACCTTCCTTGGAACAAGGTGTTGCCTTAGGGAGGGAAGGGAAATTGCCACTGCTTCAACTCTGTCAAGTGTGGAATTTAAAAAAAAAAAAAGATTTTGTCTCACAGAATTAGGTAGACAGTGCTGTCAGACAAGAAATCATCACATTCATTTTTGCCAAGGACAGAAGTGGTCTCCATTCACTTCTTTGGCAGAGATCAAGCAGTGCGTTTTCAAACAGGTGGAGGGAAAAAAACTTGTCACCAGCTTTAGGCACAGGGGAAGCTTTTTTCCCCCCCTCTATTTAGTTTAATGCTTTATTTTAGTTCTATAAAGTAAAATTGGGCTGCTTTTTTGCATCTGGGAGCCACAAAGGGAATGTATCCTTGGAGTTGTTTAACAAAAGAAAACAGGAGTGTGAAGTTAAGTAGAGGTTTTTTAACATACCTATTTTCTTCTCATATTTTTTTAATGGAACTATTACATATATGATCTGGGCAAGGATTACAGAGACTGGGATTGGCTGTATATGGAATATAGACCTGGGATTTTTCCAGCTCTTGTTAAGCCGGAAGCAAAGGAGATGCCTAAAAGCAGAAGTCATTTAAGGGGGAATAGCTAATTCATAACATGCCTACATCCCCCCATCCACGCAAGACCTTCCACTGAAATGAATCACATAAAACAAATGAGCCTCATGTTCAAAAAGTGCAGCTGGGACATAAACATCGGTTCCATCCCATTGGGATTGCACAAGTCCACCCCTTTATTCGTGTTTTTCTATAGACTGCAGTCTTTCCTAACTCCCTCTCTGTGGTGTCTACATATATTGAGTTCAGTTTTGGGAGAAATGTGATGTCCTAAATATAAATATCCTAAATATCACCCTGGTGAACATAACCACCTAGTTCTGAGAAACTAATCTCTAGTGACGGAAAAGCAATGTGTACATTGTCTGCCACATTAAAACCTTTCACTGTGTGCCTAATATTGTTCCTCACTTTCATAATAATACAAATGTCTTTGTATCATAATGGCTTCTTAAAGTTGGCTTCAACTAAGAAGATAACTTAGTAGTTCCTTATTATTTCAAAACTGTAAATTCTAAATTATTGAGATCACAATACAGATAACTACATTATGGTATAGAATAAACTTGCTTTATGAATTTTTTTATTGATTGTTTGGTAAACCACCACAAATCTGTAAATGATTTGGTGCTTTACAAGTGGAGTGAATGAAGGAATAAATAAGCAGGCTTACTGCTAAAATAAAAAATGTATACATTTCTAAAGTTCCTTCCAAATATGAGGACAAATTTAATTATACTCACTGGAAGTATACAAAATTTGAATCAGAGTACCATGCTTATGTCACCAAAATACAGTATTTTAATGTCATTATCTATATATTCCTATAAACAGAGGCATAACCTTACCAATGTATCTATCAAATAATTCACATCGACAATGGTGTTAAACATTTAGGCCTGTGACAAATTAAGCTAAATAGTTCTGTAAGAAATTGTCTCATGACATCAAGCAAAATAAGCAATCAAGCAAAAAAAAAAACCTACTGGTGTTTTTGATGAACAAAACAACTACAACATATTTTGAAAACGAACTGATGGTTTATAAAACCATGAAAATTACTTGTTAAAGGGGAAAAAGAATCCTTAGATTTATACATCAGCAATTTTGTTTTAATCAGTGGGCTTTCAGAGGGCTTTCAGATAGATTTAAACAGTACACCCTATCTAAATACTTAGTTTCTAATACATGTCAACAACAATGTCGATTAAATGTGCACATTGCCAAAAGAAAAACGTTAATGGACAATACATAAGAAATATACATTTCATGCTTGCAGTTCAAATCTTCACAAAAGTGCCTTTTGAATGTGAATTTTCATTTTTAGGCTGAGTTATTAGCGTTGTGTCTGGGCAATTACATTATAAGATTGTGTGTTATCTAATTAAATATCTGTACACATTTGAATCATTTTAATAGTTCAATAAAAAGACTATAGAGCTACATTTTATTTATGCCATCTTTCAGTTTACAATAATAACCAGCTTTGGTGGTAATGAAGTAATGCTAAAATATTATATGTATAATAGAGCATTTTAAAAGTCAACATGAAATGCCCATAAAATGCAGAATCCTATATCAAAATTAAGTAGCACTGTTTTAAATTTGGAAAGCAGTGCTTTTAAATCAAGGAAACATCTTTTAGAAGTTAGGCGTTCTGATTCAAAAGTTGTATCCTAAAATATCAGATATTGGGGGACTTTATCTGGAGGATGGCTACGGATATTCAATATTAAATGAACACCTGATCCTGGTGAACAGTATTGGAGAAAAAGTGTGCTGTACTATCTGGCTGCTTACATGTGCGTGGATAGTGTTTATTGCAGAATCAATCTTTGTGTGCCCCTGACAATGACCACCTGCCCTAAGACTGCATTTCCCATAACCTTATTTCTCAATAGATGGGTTATTAAAAAAAAAAAAATTAACTGCTGCCTTTTCTACCATGGCTTCTCACACAGCTGCTGTCTGCTCTATCTCCAATATTTAAGATTAGCAAATCTGGGCTGCAAAAATCTGGATGGTCACTAGATGGTAGCAATGAGTTTAGAATTTTCTCTCTCTCTTTAATGCTATCTAGGCTGACAATAGTCCTATAAAGAGACGCTGCAGGCACAAAGGGCAATGAATATGGAGTAGTTCTGCCATACTGAGGCTCACATAAAGCGATTGTTCACACTGTTGTTGCTGCTGGCCAGCTGAGATGGACTCCTGAAAACTGAAACATTTTCTTCACGTTGAAGAGTTTGCCTCAAATCAGAACATTTGGTTACGCTAAGCACATTCCGTAACTTATTTGCATCAGGGGCTCTATTTTTTACTACTTAGAAAATCTAAGAAAACACCTGTGATTCCCTCAAGCTTTTAACTGTTAATTGATTTATCCATTTTAGTGTTATTTTAATAAGTTTTTCATGTTTATGTTCTTCTTTGAAAAAAAAATTAGCACCCTTGATTACACGCCCAAGGAGAAAGGTAGAGTATCTATTAAAGAAATGAAAAATAATAAAAATATCAACATAAAAGCAATTCTGCCCAAAGATACTAAATGTAGATTCTGGAACTACTGGAGAAAATCCATACTATATTTTCTTCTACATTAGTCTGCTCCCCAGAGTCTTATTTGGTGTATTTTTTTGAGTAAACACATGTTATTACTATGCAGCAATCTAAAAAATATAAAAGAGAAGGACGTTTCAATCTGCAACTAAATGAATACATGAAGTAGCTGGTGGTTTATTCCTTTTCTCTGAAAGGTGACACATAATTCAGTTGTAAACCTCAATAGAAAAAAAAAATCTAGCATAAAGTTTTCACGGTTTTTATTATAGATATATTATTCGGTACCATTCTGTCCTTGCTAGGACTTTTACTTGCATTGATTTATTACACACTACCTAATGGTTGGTTGACTGCAACTATTATCCCTCTTCCCTAATCCCTAAAACATATATAGTTGTAAGAGATAAAATTACCTCCCAAACGTTCTTCCTGATATGGCATTGAAGATGATTAAATTTCTCCTTCAGAAATTAGAAATTTAGCTTGCTCCCTCCAAGAACTCTCAAGTTTTAGAGAAGGTTGTTCCGCAAGTTTCCCTAGCAAAATGCTTCTTGACGAAATATTGCATTTTTAAAATAAATTTGTATATTATCATTCATAATGGTTGAGGCGCTAAGCTACAAAAAGAACCAGTCTGATGTAGTAGTGAAGGCAGCAGGCTAGCAATTGGGAAAATGTGAGTTCTAATCTTGACTTAAATGCAGTTGGGTGACCTTGAGCCACTCATTCTCTCTCAGCCCTAGGCAATGACAAATTCACTTCTAAAAGTTTGTCAAAAAAACAAACAGGGACTTGTCCAGCCAATTACCAGGAGTCAAACACTGACTCAAAGGAGCATGTGCACACACACACACACACACACACAAACTGAAATGGCTTCTAAGTAAGATTATAATGAAAAGATTGAAAGCTTAATTTTGACATATTATTCTAGGCACATGATATTGTTCTTGCTTTGCCTGAAAGGGCACTCTGAAAATGGAAATAATACTGCCCAAATATGATTTGCCAAGAGGTCAGCAAATTCAAATGGACTAGAAAATCCATTATGAAAATTCCTCTTTTCTGGCCCACAGTTTTTTAAAAAAGAAAGATCAGATTGACATTTTAAGAATATTAATTGATTAATATAAAATGAGTTTATTGGTTGCTGTGGGAGCAAAGCTAAGAAAGGGGAAAGCTATTTCCCTAAAACATCAGCTAGCTAAGGCTGCAGGAAGCTGTGCTAGCAAGTAGTCCAATCCTTATACCAACAACCAGATCCCAATACTATTTGCAAAATAATGTTCCTTGTCTTTGTATAAATGATCCTGTTTTCAGCATTGTATGCCATTAACTGAGACAGGCATCATGTCTCTCTAGCTGTCGTATCACTTTCATAATATACTAGCACTAGGTTACTTAAGCATGATAAATGTCCATATTATTGTTGTGAGTCCGTGCCAGCCAGTGGATCCGGCAGCTGAGTCTGGGGAATCAGAGGAGGAGGAGGAGGAGGAAGAGGGGTTTGGAGAGCCATCAGAGTCGGAAGGAGGCTCTGATGAGTTACAAGACTCACAATCTGATGAAGAGCCTGGCCCCTCCAATCGTGGTCAGGATGAGACACAGCTGTGTGGGGAAGATGAGTCAGACTCTGAGGACTCACAGCTGGAAGGCAGTTAACTAGAGCAGGTCAGAGGGAGTCAATACGGCAACTCCAAGAGAGGAGGAGAAGGCATTGAGAAGCCACGCCTTGGGGCTGCTTAATAAAAAGGGAAGGTGTGGGCGGTGCTGGTTGCTGAAGGCAACTGTTGCAAAGTACTTCATGGGATCATGCTCTGTTGATATTGCCGGTGAATAATTCCTTGTTTTGCATTGTGTTTCGTGTGGACAATTTCCTCCATTTGGATTGTGTTTTGTTGCTTTTGTTTTTGGACCATTTGGCAGGTTTGTTACTAATACTAAAAGGGGTTTTGTTTTCTTCCGAGTCTCCAGCCTATTTCTCAAAAGGGGTTTTGTCCTTGTGCATTTAACAAGGACGGCTATAGGCTGGGACAGAACAATTATTTGCAGTGGAAAAGAACTAAAGTACAGTTACCACTATCAAACCTGGTAGCTAACACCAGGTTGACCAATACATGACAGAAGAGTTAATTTATTATATCTTTGAACCATCTATAGGGTTTGTATTTTTTTCAGTCCCAATCTAGTACTGTACTATATATACCTGTACATGAGCCCACCTGCAGATGTTGACTCTCAATTTTTTAAGCAAAATACCATGAAATATGTGCCAGCCAAAGTTAAACCAACCCTCAAATCGGTCGTGTGTTTTAATTCTCACAATCGGCTTATCCATGGATAATCATAGAGATTAGCTATTTTTCATGGTATTTTGGTTAAAGACTGGAGGGTCAGTTCACCCACTGATAGGCTTATACACAAATGTAAATGGGACACACAGGTACCTGTTTTGACTCTATGTA